GTCTATGCCAGATAAGGTATCTTTCCTTCTCCGTCATGGTTAATTCTTCGACTTCCCCTTTTGTACCATCAATGATCTCTGCAGAGAGCGCAAAGAATGCAGAATCTTCGTATCCTGGTTTCACATGCGAGATGATATACATCCCATCTTTCATTGTTGCTTTGATGATCTTATTATTCTTATCGTTTTCTGGTGTGAAATACATCTTCTTGAGACTGAATGTACCCTTGAGTCCTGCCTCACAAATTCTCTTGGCTGAGAGCAGGTTGACCCCCAATCCAGGTACATATAGCACACCAGCTAATGATGTCCTTGTTCCATCCTTGCACACCATGTCCACTGTTCCTCGCTCATCCGAGTACATAGCTCCCCCACCAACCGTTATCCTTCGTCGCGGAGTACGAATTAGACTTCTGAATAGAGAACGTTGGTCAGACATGTGTGAAGTGGCGCCGGTATCAGCGTACCATTGCGATGGGGATGCCTTACTAATACTTTCTTTGGTGAGATGACAATGCTCAGAATCAGACTCACTATCGACGACACTTTCAGTAGCATCGGAGCTTGATTCGGCGATATGAGCCTTGTGCTCCCTGCGTTTTTTGTCTTTTCGCACTGGAGAGGTGGATTGTCTTCTCTTCTGTTTGTGCTTTGAATCGGATTTCAAGAGACGCTTGGCGCGACGGAGCTGGAAGCATTTTAGGACTGAGTGGCCAGGTTTGTCGCAGAGTTCGCAAGTGATGATGGATGTGTCGGTCTCCGAGCTTGTGCTAGCCTTACGCTGGCGATGAGGTGGGACATATTTCTTTCCTTTTGCAAGGTGTGCCGAGTCTCCAGAGGTCTGGATCTCTGCCTCTTTGACCTGTAGATGCTTGATCTTATCGTCAATGCTTAGAGTAGAACTGACGACACGGATCATATCAATGATGACTTTGTACTCATCAGGGAGAGACAAGGTCAGGCTTTGAAAGAGTGATTTATCTGTACACAAAGCACCGGCTGAAGCATCCGCAGATAAGAGCTTTCGTCGAAGATCCTTGAGCTTATCCCATGCACCTATAATAGTCATATCAGGGGTATCGTCGAAAGAGAAGGTCTTGATCTTGAGGAGGTACTCGTCTGCTGCGATATCATCGATTCTGGAGTATTTGACGGCTAGATAATCCCAAAGTTTCTTTGCTGTATCATATTCGTCCACTAAAGCCTCATCATCGTCAGATAATGAGCGACAGATATAAGATAATGCACTAGCATCGTCCTTAAGAAAGGTGGCCTTTTTGTCGATATTGAGTCGAATCTTTGTAGTGGTACTGCCGCTGCCGCTGGAGACTTGAAGTTCTTCGAAATCCTGGATTAAGTTGTCGGCTGCTGCAATCCGTGCATATTCATGCAATGTCTTTTCGCATGTATAGAACCAACCTTTTCCTCGAAGTTGAATTCTTATTTGACGAGTCCAGCGTTCGTGATTCTCTTGAGTGAGAGGAGGGATGCGCTTGGAGTAATCCTTGGATCCAGTGTCTTCGTTCATTTTGAAGGTTCTGCAAGTAGAAAGCTTGCGTCGATGACCTAGGCGTGATTGATGGTGGAATGAAAGAGTGGAAGAGGAACTGTTTAAGACTGCGCTGTCCCGATTGGGATGTACTAGTGTTTGAAGGGAGAAATTCTCTTCAAGGCGGGGTAATTAAGAATAGTGAATTTTGATTTGTAGATAATGATTTTTGAAGTGATATCGAACACTATGTAGCAGGTGATGCTCTTCAGCGTTAAGCTGGAATGAATGGTCTTTTCAGTAATAACTCGTAGTTTTCTTACTTGAGGAAAAGGCGCGATGTAAGTGGTTACTTCGCTGTCGCTGCTCAGCAATCTGTTTGCTGTGCGCACCTCGTATGTTGACGTCGCGTTGCGTAGGAGCTTCTCGTCGTCAACCTCTCCTTTGGCAACGTAAGCTATTCAAAGAGCTTTCGGCCTTAGTCTTACTGCAGAGCTACCGGGCTCATAACCTGTTCACAATAAAGGAGCAGGCCAGTGGAATGCATGTATTATTGACTATGTAGATTAATTGTACTAAGGTAAAATCTAACTACGAAGTGGAAGTGATATATGCACAGTAGCTTAGAGCACGTGCCACAACTTCCAACACATTTTATATTACAAAAATCTATTTCTTTAAATAACTTTTTTATTATTATAAGATTTTACTATTTTAATTCATTTTTATATTATTTATATAAGTAAATATAATATATATCAGAAAAAATTAAATTATACCAATAAATAAAGAAAGTATACGGTTACACATAACCATTTTCTATATATAAAAAATAATGATGTATATACTAATATAGTATATGTACTGATAAACTACGTTATTCTATATACTCTATATACTCTATATAGAGCAAAATCTCAAAAAAATCATACTTGCTTGACCTCCCCATCAGGCCATCGGGAAATTCAGACCTCACTCCTAACCTAATAGGTACCTAAATTGTCCATTTCAATCTTCATCCCTCCCGTCGTCGCTTTTAGGGTACTCCCGTGACCCGTACCGTGAGATTACTTATACGATGGATGGATCGCCTTCCACCCATCTATCATTTGATTCCTTATATGTTTCTTCTGAATTTCAATCGGATATCTCGTGTACTATCTACTATCTGCTGTCTCAGAGTCTGATAATTGGGGGCTGGCTCCCTCCTCGTGTGTGTGTGCATACAGCTAGAAAACATGCTGAAATCACTACTAGGTAGGTATGCAATATGCAGAATGCTAGATAGATAAAAATGCATATACCGGTACATAAGGTTACCACGACACCACGCGATGATACATAAACCATAGAATGAATAAAATAGGACTGATTAATCTGAGAACCCTTTCCTCAGCGGCGCAACGGCATATTTCCTAATCCTGATCACGCAAATATAAGCATGAATGAGTTTCGTATGGTATAGTATAGTATGCTATGATTGATGCCCCCTTTCCATCCCTCTCTCGGATATTTTTCATCGCTGTACTCCGTATATGCCTTATGGTTAGGTATATCTACCGGTAGTCCATGCATTTGTATAACTACCTAGTATATATAAGTTAGCTAAACATGCGCTTGAAATCCGAAACCCCGGAAAGCCGGGAAGTCTAAAGACTAAAGACCAAAGAGCATGGGAATACCGGTACATGATATAATGACTATCAGATGGTAAGAATACGGAACCGGTATTTGCTAGATAAAATATAAGATATGCAACAAATTAGGTAGAAGGACCCGGAAGAAGAGGGTGAGGACTACAGGGTGTCAATGCCTAAGGTATTAAAGGCCAAGCTTACATAATCAGCCACGTCGTGGATATGTACGTGACAGGGACTTTCCTAGGTAGGTAGTCACGTGCATTATTTCTACTCCCACACACCTGTTGAATCGTCCAATCTAATCTAATCCCATCTACTCCGAAGAAGAACACATAAAAATCGTATGCCGGTACACTCATCAAGTACAATTTCCGCATACCATCTCTCCTCACCTATACTCTAGAAGGCACTGTGTCTCCGTTCCCATGGTTTTCCGAACCTTACATTATGGCTATGGTTCGCGGAAAGGAAAATGTTAAGGCTGGGATACCTGGTATTTGGTTGAATGGGCTAGAATTGTCACTCCACGTGGCGGATTCACAATCCTGGGGCTAGTGCAGCGTAGCTTGGATGGATGGGTTTGATGGTTATGATGGGTTTGATGTTGGTAAGGTTGGTAGGGCTGGGTACTGGGGAATGGAAGAGTGATTGCGCCATCGGGGTAGGATAGGATAGCTATGTGGCTTAGGTTGGATCGCGGCCGACAGGGTTGGATTGGGTTGTTGAAGAGTGTGTGTGCGCCGTTATTACGTGTGGTGTGGTGTGCTGTGGTATAAGGTTGGTTACGTTTGGTGATGACGTCTTGAGATAAATGTGAGCTTTAGGGTTCGAGGGTCGGAGGGTTTGACAGAATTTTCTGGTTTATTGGTTGATTGGTTGATTGTTTATCTGTTTAGTGGTAAGGTAGTGGTAAGGCAGTGAGAAAGAGGTAAGAGGGGGGTCAAGTGAGGGAGTCAAGTTTGATCAAAGGTAGGTACATATCGAAAGAAGTGAAGATAGAGAGGATGATGTAAGTTGCTCTTAACATCTTCCCGGCTTTCTGAAACAACAGAAGTGAAGAGAAAAGAGGTAATACTTGGATTTACTGTACACTGAGGGTTATAGAGATAGATGGAGCATCTACCTATGTACACGGAGATGAGAATCTGGGTGGGGGGTCTGAGGATGATGCCGCGATTCTGTAGGAGGTAGAGAGAGTTAGCTTTCTGGACTGGCGGGTCAGATTACTGAGTTTATTCCCACATAGGTACACAATTGTCAACTTCCTCGTCGTGTCCCTACAATAATCTCTAAACATTAGTTTGCTGTGGAGCATTTAGGAGTTGCGGTATATGAGTGGCGAAGTGTGAGAGAGGTGGTTTGATTTTTTGATGATCAAGAAGACGGGGGTTGACACTGAATCTGTCGGAGACAAGAGCTGGAAAGCCAAAACCTCCGTCTACACCAACAACAACTTGATCACTCTTTCTAACCCGGACCTCGGCTTAGTAGACTAGGGTCAGATGATTATGGTGTGGTTTATTAGGAATGGGTAGAGTCTACATTTGGTACAAGGTAGGAGTCAAACTACAGGATATTTGGAAAAGTCGTGGAAGATTGAACATGATGGGAAAAGAGAAAAGCGATGATGGATGGTGTTTACTGAAGTGGGAAATTTAACAGAACATACTGGGAGAAGAGCAGATGAGATGATGAGGATGGGCATTGGGATTCGTGAACAGAACAGTCAGTAGGTATGAATGGTGAGAGTTTGGGGGTAATGAAATGAGCAAGGGTAAAGGGCTGAGAAGGACAATGGAGGTGACAGGCAAAAGATAGTGATGAGATAAAAGAGTGACTCTAAGGTATATCTAGTGGTGAGTTTAATTGTTTGTGAGCAAAGTGATTCTTTCGACTCTTTGGTACCTGCATTAGTGTGCACATAAACCTATTGCAAAGTTCTTTTCACAGTGGAACGTCGAGATATGTATTTTATCAAATTGTATTTGTATTTGGGAACAGCTTACTCTGCAAAGAACAGGAAGTCAAACCTGAGATCTTTTCTCCCTGTTATGAAACAAGATATCTATGCCCTGCCTTCACAAACACTCCATGCAGTCCTTGGTCCTTGTAAACAGTAATTAAAGGTGTATTGCTTAAAACCTTACTCTTCAACCCAAGAAGTCTCCTGTGAGTCTAAGCATAACGAAACCCAGAGTCGAGATTTTGTTGAAGCCAATCAGGTAGAGGAGCCCCAAGGGTGGTATTTTGGAGAAGCCAATCAGGTGGAGACCAAAATCGCAACTGAACTCGACTTGTGCTATTACTACTCAAGTAATTTCCATCGCGGCAGAAATATTGGGTCAAGAAAACTTCCATATTGAACGAGGAAGTGGGATGCGTGTTGGTACTCAGCAGGAGCACCGTTTCAAGATTCTCAAACATAGCTAGAGCATCTCGACATCCATCCAGATCATATGAATATTGATTAGATATAGATGATCCTGCCAACTCAGTCTCAACATTATGGATGCTCCTCATCGCTTCGACCGCAACTGGGTCGTATGCAGGGAAAAGTCTCTCGAGGGAGAGACTTATCTTGTCGAACGCGTATTGCGGTACGTTTGCGAAGAAGATGGGGGTATCTATCTTCGGGTTGAAATATATGGTACAAGGATACCGAAGGTTCATGCCGTCCACGGGTGAATGAAGATCCTGGTACAGTCGAACGTAATATTGGAGTGTTTCTGCGCGACTTTCTCTGTTGACAAAGGCGACCGGAACTCCGCTGATAGGAGGAATCCTTAGTTGCTTGCAGACAAGTTGATCTCTAGCAGATTCTCGGGATGGATTGTTGAAAGGAAGGGGCTCGCTGGATGGTGTTGGTCGTACGTAACCACATCGAAGCCTGACTTTTCTCGATTCGAAAGTTGACCGCCAAATCTTACGTCGGATTTCGATTTGCAACTCGCCGAAGAGAGGGAACTCTGGGCGTTGAGGCAGAATGTCCGTCTGGGTTCCTGGGTCAACAGCCTGAGGTTCCTTCACAGCTTGAGGTTCCTTAACAGCTTGTGGCTTCTCAGCTTGAGGTTTCTTGGTTCGAGGCTTCTTGCTTTGTGACTTCTTCGTTTGTGACTTCTTGGCCTTCTTGGATACACTGCCAGATGATTTTTTCGGATTCCTTTGGAAAAAAAAATTGATTAGTTATCATTCTAGTTATTGGGAAGCGTTCCTTACATGGTGTTATTTTGATCCATGATCGTTGATTGTGTTTGTTTATTGGATGATGATTGTTGAGAATATTTCGTGAACTTGGATTGTTCAAAGTTGTTATGCAGAAGGACAAAGTTGATATAATTAAGTAGATGTTGATTGTATTCTTGAACCTGTGTTGTTCGAAACTGTTGTGTAGAAGAGAAAGGCTTGTCAAATGATTGTATTTCTCGAGAATGTGTTGTTCTGAAATGTTGTGTGAACTGAAAGGTTTATATGATAAAATTTTGATCTCGGCTAAACGGCAGCTGTATGAAAACACTGCCCTAATATAATTCACTATACATATTACCATGGAATCACAAAGCTGATCTTTCAATCATGTGGCCCTCAAGGAGGTTGGCTAGTAAGCTACCTAGTATCTAGGTACTTGTGCATGCCTATTATTTACAGGTCTATTTCCTAAATTCACAAAATTTGTTGGTTCACAATTATTGAATTGTGTTATAAATTCACTGTCCTCGAACTGTATTATTCTACTTTACTGGACTTTATAGAATCTGGGAATTCAATCTCACTATATAGATAAGAAACGAGGCAAGAAAGATTCCTAATTGTTTGATTGTTTGCTGCTTTTTATTTTGCCAATGATCAAAACTAAAGAACAATTTGTAAAGCTCAGTCACCTGGACAAGACTATCAAGCTACAGAAAGCTTTATGATAAACTTTCGTCATCCTGTAAGTCTCAATCTCATTCAAACTCCTGATTGAATGAAATAAATCTCATGCTCCCCCCTTGTGCTACTCCACTCTGCTCCTCCGTGATCTGATCTTATCTACTCCTCCGTGTTAGGATCTCACAAAATACACCATTACGGTTCTCTCTTCCCCATACAAACTTCAGTTCTGCATTTCCAGTCCACTTGTTCTTGATCTGGTTAGTAACATAGTCTCTATCCAATAGGTCGTCCGTTGTGCCTTCAAATCTTGGGTGCAAAATCAACTCAACACGTTGAAGACTCTTGAAGCACTCAAGGATATGGGGCAGACCATTCATCGTTATGTAATAGCCAAGTCTGTTCTCCTCAAATTTCGCATGGTATATCTTGACCACGCGAATACGCTCGAGACAGCTTACAGTCTTCTGGTCGTATAGTGGAAATAGAGCTTGAATCTCGGAAGATGTAGTGTAAAAATTTGGGTAGACGAGGCTGAGACAGTCGACTTTCAGGTTGAAGTACATTACATGTGGTAGTCGCAAATTCGTTGCACCACTCTGGTAGTCATCATTGGATGTGGACTTCTCTGCTTGAGTATCACTTGAAGATGTTGTTTCTTGACTTCTGTAATGTGCTTGGTAAATTACATGATAATGCTTCAAAGTTTCAGCTCGGCTCTCTCGATTTGCAAATGCCATGGGAAGGTTATTACAGGCACGAAATGAAGGTGGATTGCTGTCCTGGAACAGGAACGATTTGGGTTTCATGAAAGACCATGGACCCAACATGAGATTTTGTCGTGGAAAGGAGTGGCGCCAAATCTTGTTTCGAAGTTCCAAAAATAAATGAGGAAAACGTAAAAAGGTTGTTGCTGGAATAGCTCTGGTACTTGTAAGATCTGTAGATGTTTCTTGACTGAGACCACTGTCTGCAATGTCTGGCAACTTTGAACTCAAATTCTTGATTGCATCATTGCCGGATTTCGAGTCATGGGAGGGTCTGGATTGGGAGAAAGAGTTAGTGGCCGCTGATATGAACATTTGAAGAGTGATTCATACTTAGCCGTGAATGAAAATTGCTCATTCTCTGATGTACTTGATGAGATTTCAAGCTTCGAGGCCACAAAAGCCTTTTCTTCATCCCTAGGCTGCAGGTCAGAGATTTTCCAAAGTAGTTTTGAAGAATACTAGAAAAGTTGATCTTACATGGTGGATGTCTGGCTCGACTCGATTTGACTTGACACTGGTGTGTGTTCGTAATGTCTGCCAGTTAGAGATGAAAGTCTAGAAATAGATTTGAGTAGGTAGATAATCAGAGTAATGCTCTACTTGAAGGTGGGTTAACCGGAATGTAAGCCTTGGTATCAACTTGATTTATAAGTGTGAAGGACTTCAGTCTGTTATGATTGTAGTTTCTCTCAGTCATTGTTACCTATTGGAAGGTAATACTTACATAAGGAAGCTCTAGCGCCTTGCTAAACAATTCAGTGCCCCATTTATGATCACATGTTTGATATCCCGACAGTAAGCGATGAGTTTTTATCCACCAATTTTTCAACAGAAAGTGTGGGTTGACAAGAAAGCCCAACCTTTGGCATTAAGCTTCGAGGCCACAAAGAAAATAACATGTTCCTCTACAATAGAAGTAGCCTTGTTGCACCACCTGTATCAGTGTGTCTCCAATTACCATAGACTTTTGTCAATATCACAATGATTATGTCGGAGCAGTGACAAGCACACAACTTCGCAAGATTTTTGGTAATCTGACATCTTCTATTTCTCCAACTGAATTATTGAGCATGTAGGAACTTCTGTTGAATAACAGATCAAAGGGGTATTAAATTCCCCAAAAAGGATTGACCTGTCTAAAATGGCGAAGGAGATACAGGCACTTAGCTTTCAAAATGTGTGTAACAAACACAATGCAGTTATAGTAAAATTATTGAATGTGTTTATTGGATTCAAAGACTAGCATAGCAAGTCTTGATTGATAGAATACAACTTGAACTATTTGAGATCCTGTAATTGACTGTCGTAGAGCTCAGCCAAGGGCTCTCATTCCCACACATCTTCCCTATTGATACCCTCTATTCCCTCCATTCCGAGCTGCTTTCATCCCAAGCTACTTTTGTTTGTTTCTAACTAGGCGATCAGAAAATGAAAGATTTGACCACTTGCTTCAAGTATCGACGATTGTAATACATGTACAAACCTATCAATCCTAGCATTGGAACTAGTCCATAAGGTCTTTGATCAGCAACCTTGACTCGCTCTTTTTCATTCTTCTCCTTGTAGTATGGGATGCAACGATTGCCATCAATTTTTACGGTAACCTTCATATGGTCGCCGGTTCCAGAAAATGTATTGCCTCTTTGAGTCATATCAAATGCAACAACGGTCTCCCTCCGCTCATCATGCCCTCCAGGCTCCTTACCAAATATAATGTTCATAGTTTTAAGGTTCTTAAGCATTCTAAGAACACGAGCGCCATGAAGGTTATTTCCTGTAGAGCCAGTACAATAAATTTCAATATGTTCAATTTCATCTACGATGCTAGAGGATCCTCGATCACGTTGAAGTATATCGAGCACATATTGGGGCATAGAGGGATTGCGGAAAGCATCTATGGTGAGGAATAGATGATCTATCTTTGGGTTGAAGTAGATGACATTGCAATTGCTGCTAAAATTGCTGCTGGGCTGTTTGACGAGATGATTTCCCAAGAAGATATGTTTCAGACCCTTAATTTTTGCTGGCGAAAACCATCGAGATTGTGTTGCGATTGGCTGTGTAAGGCGATAATAATGAAGTAATGTCAATTTGCGGCTTTCGTAATTGACAAACAAGGTAATTGGGAGGCTAGATCTTGCTTTAGGGCATGGTCGATCAATGAAACCAGTGTCATCTGCAGGATCTTTAACGCCTTCACGAAGATCGACTCTTCTGGGAACAAAACAGTGGAGCCAGACATTCATGCGAACCAACCAAGGAAAGCTGTTGAAATATGGAAAGGTTTCCGCAGATTGTATTTGCTGTAATTCGAGTCGATCGCCTTCAATATTATTGTGAATAATGTCGAAAGTTCCACCCTTGATTGAGACAGGGACCTGTTCATGGGGAAGTGGGCTAGTGGGCTCCCTGCAACTTTGTTAGATACGATCTCGAGTGCCAAGGTAATGATAGACCTACATGGTATTTGAGTGTATTATTGAGGTCAAGGAAATTTTGGAAGCTGCACAATTTTGTTGTTGTTGCTTGTGTTGTTGATGAGTGAAGGTGGATGGAGACTGAGTAGAAGTGGCGTAGATGCAACACTAGCTTGCTTGATCATGGATTGAATGACCAGATCTGCCTTGATCGGTATAAGAAGAACATAAATACTATCTCTAAGATGGAATATTGATTCACCAGAAGCCAACCAATACATAGGTAGCTGTAGTAGAGAGAATTCGAAGCTTGGGTTAGGGTTTTATCAATCAAGTGTCTCTCTTCAAAATGGATCAATGCCAAGGAATCCTCGTGCGACAAATGAAGCATGGATTCATTTACATGCAGATAAGTCAGGAGAAAGAGCTATGAGATCATCGACGATATGCCCTCATCCAGCAACAAAGACGATCCGAAGCCCATTGGGGTCTCCTTGCGTGATGAAAGATATATTGACCAGCTCACTCTCCTTCAATCTGTTGATAGAGAATCTGAGAAATATTTCACGGAATTGCCCTAGCGAGTTCGTTGATGTAGAAACTGATCCCGCTGCCATGAACGTCGATGCCTCCTTCTATACCAATGACAGTTCATGTTACCTGGCACAAGTGTTTCATATTGATCCGTCGAGCAGTCAGCATGAATTTGGATATCAGAAACAGGAGAAACGCTCCATCTTTTCGCATTTGTATGAGATATGCAAGAAAAGACCTACATCTTCCAAGGAATGGTTGAGCAACGGTCGACTCGGCGTTATGAGCTAGCAGATTATGATTCGGGTCAGACGAACTGTGAGAGGGTGACTCCACATGTAAAGATTGAAATGGAAAATATTATAGTAGACATACAAGATAGATTTTCAGGGTTTGAAACTCCAGGAATCTCGGTATTTCATGCTAGCAGATTAGTTTCAGCAGCATAGTGAAGACTGGCTATCAAGAACAGTTGAGGCAGACGATCCGAAGCCAGAAGAATATGAGGAAATAACATTCAGGAAAACTGGTCAATGAATTATGATAACAGTCAATGTTTAATTCATTAAAGCAGTAAAACAAACCTTTACAAGCGGAGAAATGGAGGCTGTTAGAAGAAAGCACGTGCAACTTCTACACTAAGGATCTCATGTATAAAAGCGAAATATGATGAATTTAAGGTTCTCAAACACCACAGCCACCATACCGCATGAAGACATATAAGTCTAGTCTAAGTGCTGTTATTCACGCATTACCGGAGACATCGTCTTGGGCAGTACCCTATGTGATTACACTTTCGGCAGCCTGGAACATTCAGAAACACAGAAGAGACTACTATCTCTAGCAGAGGTAAATCTCTTGTTTGTCATTCCACTGAGATGAAGACGCTTGGAACTGATAGACCTGATGAGGTCATTCATGACTCTCTAGCCCAAGAAAGCGGCACCATCATGGCCAATTAAATTGTCCTTCAAGAGGCAAGCCCAAAGGTTCACGATATACCTAGCTAGCGAGTCAATTAGTATAAAGCAAAATGCATGAATTCCCTAGGACTAGAGGCTGTATGGTTGTTTAGGTAGGGTAGGGACTAGCATGAAATAAGCATGATTTGTTAAGGGACCAAGATTTACTGTCATGAAGGAGTATATTTTCGCCATGAACGCCGGCTATAGTGTGGCAAAAGTGCAGTTTTGCAAGATGAACGAGGTGGAAAAGAAGCAATCAGCGATTCTATTTTGCTCTGAACCCAGAGACAAATTAGATCTTGAATTCTTCAAGAGTAGAGAGAATTTATATGATGTGTCGTTGGAAGTAGGTTCTGCCATTTCTCACCGCCGAAGCTTCTTTCGTGACCAATTTGAAATCTCTCCATACCTACTGATCGACACAAAAATAACATCAACACGGATAACAAAAGTAAACTACACTTCTCGCATAACATGGTTTATCATCGAATAAACCATATCATTGAGTGGACCACTTCAAAATACACTAAAATTAACCTTTTCCTAATATTTACATTTTAATAATTAATCAATATTTTTTAAAAAAGAAAAAAGATTTATTAATAAGAAAAGATTTCTTATACAAATATTTAGTTTTTATATGAAAATTGATATTATATTTTATAAAAATCATAAATTGTTACGATTTTCGTTACAAAAATATTATTTTAATAATAACTCCTATATTAATTAGAATTTTAAAAAACAAATTAGATTTCTATAATATTTCTATAATTAGATTTCATAATTTCAAATTTTATAAAATAATATTATTAAATAAAGAAAGTGTACGATTATGTATAGACGAATTTTATATGTATTTATAATGATCTACTCGATAATATAGTCCATTCGATAATAAACTACGTTACAAGTTCTCGGGAGTTTTAGAGTATTTTGGTGGCAAGGAGACGCTCGCACGACGGTTCTACCTCTGCACCGCTATAAGTCAGGACAAGGGCGTTGCCCATATGTTTGGCTATACATGCCTGAACGCTGGGAATTCTTTAGCATTCGGATGCCAAGTTGATTCAAATGATGGGTTGTTGATTCATCGCTATCTTTCAGCTCTGTCAACCACAAGCTTCGAGGTATTGCGATGCTAACAAATAAGATTTTCTTTCGAAGCGGCATACGAGATAGAGGGAAGTGATTTGAATTTTCTACCAAGCAGAAAAGATGAGAATGCCCACAGGTCGTTCGCCATTGACAACACGGCAAAATTGCATTGTCACATGCTATGATTTTCGCCTCACTTGCAAACGCTATAGTCTGCTGCCACGAAGACGCACCTTCCAGAACAACATGTGCCTTGAGGACCGGCGATGCTTACACAAGTAGCGCCCTTCGCCAAACACTAAATTGGAAGGGAATATCAGTATAACCCTTGTCAATTGATGTATCATATGTCAAGACACGGTGTAAATGACACGAACCTTCTTTTTTCGAAGGCAATGTGCATCATCTGCCACTCCTGGTTCGTTTTCACATAGTAACCCATCGCAGCATGTGCCAACAGGACCGGCGAATCCAGAGCAGAAAGTACCCTCGGTGAGACATTGCTATGGTTCAAAGATCAGACTTGGTGATTCAATATCTGGAGGTCAGGGTGGAGGAGGAAAAGCTACTGTGTATAATTTGTCCTGAGGAACAGCCACGGCGACAGTCGACGCTACGAGGAGCGCGAGGATACTGAGGGATTGACTGAGCTTCATTTTCTAAGGATTTTTGGGAAGTTTGATACTTAGAGATGAGAGAAGTTATTGATGAGGAAACGAATGAAACTAGGGAAGAACGATCCCATTTATATCCTCAGAAAATGTCTCTGAACGCCATCATAGGTGTATCGTTCTCATCAGCTGTTTATCAGTTGACCCAAGCTGACAGTCTGCCAAGTGACTGCCAAGAAGATTTACGAGAGCCCCTTACTTCCTCGAATTATATCGGCATGACGATTACCCTCTAGCAGATTGTATGCATGACCGTTTCAAGTCTGTGGGTGGTGCGTTATGTTGCCCCGCATCATGTCAGCATATCGCGAGCAAATCTAGTTACCTAGCGAAACGACAACAGGTATGTAATCCAGCAGGAAGGAATCTCAATGACGACTGGCGGTGAGCTACAGAACATGTTAATTTCAACAGTCTAGTTTCTCACACATTAATAAAACTTTACACATTTATGCTATGTGAAGGTCTTAGCAACCCATGATGAAGTGGGTCGAATCTTTTACTCGAAACTTACAAATGATTGTGTAGACAGAAAGGCTTCCATTTTTCAGTAACATTAATTTGGAAGCCAGACTACCTTAGACACCTGTCTCAAAAGATCACAGCCTTTTTATCTTATCAGTTCACAATTTCGAAACTGTCCATCATGTTTCCAAGCCACTTCCTCGGGAAAATGTAACCCCGAGTATTGCTCACAACCCCAGTCAGATCAAAAAGGGGTCCGGATGGACCATGAAGAATTACAACGCTGGGCTGGGTCCTATCCATATGTATATATGGCTGGTATCACATCACATGGCATGAGCTCTTGCGTCTGAACATTCCAGCCTTCTTGGAGATATATAAGGGTCTTATTATTTGCGTTACGATTCGAGCACACCGTTGTATTTGTTTGGCTATGTTCTGGAAGTCTTCGCATACTCATGCCACCATTCGGTTTGTGGACGCTTCCATTATTTTACGAGCTTGAAACTTTAGCGAATCAAGACTCGGAAGACACCAAGTTCTCGAGTATTCATATTCATCTTCTTTATATTTATCTTCTTCAGATACTGATCCCTTGCGAGTATTCCAATTGATATCGTTTGTAGCTAGCATACATATCTCAACATAGTCGTTGAGATCCTCGATCGAGGCATGTTTCAGCTCAAACATAGCTCGTGATGTCGGGAGGTCTTTTTGGTCTAACTGCGCAATGATCTTCAGAGGTTAGGGTCTAGCGGACTTTTTTATCATGCACATAATTCCTTCATTCCGATGACAACTGTATTACAATGACATAATCTTGACCACATCGGATGTGTCACCGTAACTCGAAATGCATGCACATCGCACCAGTCAACAGACCATCATGATCGAATGACGTTGCATCAGTCTGATTCGAGTTAATTTTTCTTTAGCATTGTCACTCCATAATTATCTAATCATATTCTGATTGGTGGTTCTTGAAAAATCCTTAGGCCGTCGCTAGATTTGTTGGTTGGTTCTTACCGCGCGGTACTGTTCATGGTGTACTTGTTGGTCACTAGGAATTGAGGAAGCCTTGGACTCCGAACGAATGACATGAGAAATGTCAAAGTACGTTTTTTTAATCTGATTGCTCAATTAAGAAACATGTCGTCTTTGTTGCGGGAAGTCCTTGGTGTTGCACAAGAAGGTATATCTCGAGCTAATTCAGCCAAAACCGCAAGTACCTTTCATAATATTAGGCTTGTTTGTTTTGGTAGTGAAGTTTCAAATAATGGAGATTTGAAATCATGCTTGGATTTGTGGTGTTAGTTCTGCTCTGCAGACTGAAAGCACCATAAAAAGCGGCGTTGAAGGTCAAGTTCAGATCTCAACGAGCGTTGGCGGCCAGAAATGGGTTTGAATAGGTCTCTACCCGTTCGATCAATCTTTCCGATGTCTCGTGAGCCATGAAGCGGATTCCAACCAAGATTCGACCTCTACTGCCCATGACCAATTGCCGAGTAAAGCGAATGATAAATTCCCTTACATTTAGTACAATGGTTATCTGCAATGTTTGAAACCATAACACTCGTGCTATAAATACAAAAATATTGTACTTCTTTGTACCGTGTGATAAATGCTGCCCCATGCCAAAGTTTTTTGGAACAGGCGAGCACAAGGCGGCGAAAAGCCCAGCTACCACGGCACCATCTAGTAATATTAGGCCACAGCAGAAAAGAAGACATTCGGATCAAGTCAAAAGCGGATCATCTCCTCGTCCCAGTATATTGGCATCAAAAACATGGCATACTTCTTCAACTGGTGAGCCCAGATCGAAGCTGCCCAAATCACAAAAGCAGAAAGAACGTGTGATAGAGTTCTTCCGCATATCAAGGAGTCCGGATGATAAAGATGATGAAGGCTATGATATCAAGTGTAGAGGTATCGATGCGGAAATGCTTATGGCAGACAAGGGTTCTTCAAGCAGAGAAAATGAATCTCTTCAACCAGCCCAACGTAGAGTTTTGACCGGTAGTCGATCCATGGTTAAAACAAAAAATTCAAGCAATCAATCTAGCTCGCAAGATTCGCCGGCCCCACGAAAAGCATTTGCGCCTTCGACCATTCCGAAATCACCATATCCAAATTCATCATCAGACACTTCATTTCTTGAACCACGCTCGCGTAGAGACGTGTGCAATCCAAGAGATCGAACCGACGACCCTGGCGCGGTATCTGATCCGGAATACCGCCGTGGAAGAGATGGTAGTAATTCGCGCAGAAGTCGAGAGAGAGAGAGAGGCGAAAGGTATGTTTCCATATTTCATCACTTATTTGCAAGAGTAATAAGTTAACATCAAATTAGTCCGATCCTCTGATGATGAGATTAGTCTCCCTAGTAGAGATCGCAATGGTAAAAGCAAGCCGAGTCATCAACCTCCAAGGGCGTCAGCAGACCAGAATTATAGTCAAGCTAAAGAAAAAAAAGGGAAATCCAAGCCCTGTCATTACAAAAATAATGATTATACTGAACCAAACTGCAACTCCTCCCGCAATGAACAGAAGCTACCTTCTGGGAGAAGGGAAAATCCCAAAGACTCGCCCCCAAAAGCTGCTAGGACTGAAGATCAGAATAGATATGTGGCGAGAGTCCCCACCAATGGTCATAAACCTCGTTCTTATCAGGTTCACGACTACAAAGGAGTTTATTTGACTTCTCTCAATGATCTGCATCGTGGGTATGAGAGAGGGCAGTGAGTATGATGGTGAAGGTCTAGAAGTCACGATATAATATCCTTCTATCTTCACTCTTTCCCCTTTGTTTTGAGTCGGTATTGTGTTATTTGATCGTCGCTTCTCTTGATTTGATTGTTCTATCAGTTAGCACATTTTCGTGTAGTTTATTCCGTTAAAAAATTTTTTCGTTCTCATAAAATATGGAGTGCCTGCTTCTTTTCCCTTTGAATCCATTTTTGACTGACAATCCTACGATATACACAAGCAACAAATCATTCTAAACATTGATATCAACTTTCGTCATAAGCACAATCAATTCTTGATTTTCCGTTGTATGACAACAGAAAAACCAACCGATGATCCTTCAAGAGGCTGGAGCAAGGCAAACTCACAACCGCCAACCGCCAACCTCCGCCCCACTCAAGCGCACACTACTCCAGGTCAAAGTTTTAACTAACCGTCATGAATCTTGTTTTACTGCCACTGCGATTCTTTCTTATACAAGTGACAAAAGAAAAATACCATGCAAGTGTTGGTAGCATCTTAAATTATACTATCTCTATAGTTTCCCTAGTGGAGAATTCTTCCAAGTAACCTTGACCCTAACCTTCTACTTCACAGACACCCCTTTTATCCATTAATCCCATCTCCCACATCTCATCTCATCCTAAAATAACATGCCCCTCCTCACACACCACGCTTTCCTCTCCTCCCCCCTTCCCCCTCCCCGCACACGCAGCAACACCGACCCGCGCCCCCCTAAACCCTCCCATCCCTCCTTATCCATCGCCTCCAAATACCCAAACGGCTGGGGAACCATCCATTTCTGTTCCCAAGGCCCCTTTTCCCCCCGTCGGACATCTATCTTCACCGACCAACATCTATCTTGCGAAGGCCATCCCGTGATTTTCGAATACGGTGACGATATCAAAGTATTCCATATCGGGGAAGCGAAGATTGCGAATTTTGGGGAGAGGATGGGGAGGAGTAGGATGGTTTTTGTGGGGAAGGAGGAGGAGAAGGAGGAGAAGGGGAAATGGAGAGAGGGGAGATGGAAAAATGGGAATGGGAATGGGATTGCGTCGAGTGGGAGAGAGAGTCAGATATTCGGAAGGGGGTTTCAGAAAGGAACACCGATTCGAAAGGGGAGGATGGTGAAAGATGAGAGGGGTTGTGTGAGAGCGGTGTATCAGGATGAAGAAGTGATTGAGTTGGGGAGGAGAATTGCGAGGGAATCGATTAGGGATGTTTCGATGCGTGAGTGTTTTTTTTTTTCTTTTTCTGTTTTTTTCTAGGAAGGGGTGTCACTAATATGAGTGTAGTTCTCAAAATACCTTTAATGCCGATAAAGAATTCGATGGAGGGAGATGCTGAATATAGTGTTAGAACACTGTGGAGTTGGGGGTTTGGAAATTGATGGAATTACTTGGATTGGGATACTTTGACCGAAGAAGTGTTTGTGGAAACGAGGAAAATAGGTGTTTGGAGATTTGAGGATTATGGGATATACTCTGGGATTGGATTATTCGGGTATACTTTTTGCGTTTTGATGGTAGCGCATATATGATAATGACTTACATGTTGTTGTGGATGGTTCTGTGAGGAAGATAGGTGCGATTTTTCGTTGGAAACTGATGAAAGGTGGCGCTTGCGTGAACTCCATATTGGTGGCAATGAAATTTATAGCAGAAGGACAAAAGATACCTGAAGCAAGGAGGTAGAATGCTAAAGACGCGTCGTAATTTTTGTGTCATTGAGCTGATGAGAACAGAGTGTAGTTGTAAAAGTTGCGTGTATACTTTTCTAACCCAGCGCCATCTCGAAATCTATTATACAGGTCATTAATCTATGGTATCGTTTGCCCGCTTATTAAAGCTCATGTCATGGTATTCTCTAGTTCGTGTCACTCGCTCGCTTTTCCCCTATCTATCCCATAGTATCTTCACCTAATCAAGCAAACTTCTTAATGTGCATCCCAGTTTTACTCAACCTAGCTGCAATAAAAAAAGCCACTGTTGTAATGAGCAATGCCCCACAAAATGAAATCGTAGGAACATATCCGGAACTCGAGAGGATCTGTCCAGCAACTGGTGTACCGACTAAAAGACCCAATCCACCAATCGCAAAAGCCATGCCCATTCTCGTGCCTACGACGCCCATGTGAGGACTAAGTGATACGATGATGGTGGGTGGAATTGAGACGAAACATCCTGTGGAAAATCCATAGAGGAGAGCGAATACGACGAGACCGCCAACAGAATGAACACCAGTCCAGCCGAAGGCTACGACACTTGCGATGAGTGTTCCTGGGATGATGATATTTAAGGGTCCGAATTTATCGGCAAAGTAGTTGGGGATAATGCGACCGAAGATAGATGCCGCATTAATAGTACTCAACATATAGAATGCCGAGTTTGACTTCATGATTTTTTCGTCAGTGGCGTAAGATGAGATGTAATAAAAAGGAATATTGAGACCCATGAACCCGAAAAAGAGGGCAATCGTAAAGAGCAAGTATGGTGGTTCTTTGAATGCGGCTAGATCTATGAGCTTTCGCTTTTGCGGAGGCTTCACACGCATCTTCATTATGCTGATGGAGATGGAAAGGGTAGCAAGGAATATAAATCCAAGGGCTCTTGTTGTCCAACCGAACCCGATTTTAGGTTGAAGGTTATGGAAAATGATTGGGTAAAGGACGCCACCTGAGAATATTAGCTGCTGACTTCATATCGCCGTGTCGAATGGTATAATAACCAATGAGAAAAGTACATACCAAGTGAGCTTCCACTAGCCGCAATCCCAGTAGCGAAAGCTTTCCGTGTTGAGAAATAAGTAGAAACGATCGCCACACTAGGAACAAAAAGACATCCCAGTCCAATTCCCATACACATAGCTTGTGCAAGTATAATTTGCCAGTAGCTTGTGGAGATAGATGTCATCATCATACCGAAGACAACCATGAATGTCCCAGTACATAAAAGAGGACGAAAGAGACCGGCATCTGGGGAGAAGTCAGCAATTCGTTGTTTGAAGAAAGGTAAAAGGGGAGAAATTACCAAACAGAGGACCAGTGAAAACTCCCACGAGTAAGAGCAAGAAAGCTTGAATAGAACCAATCCATGAGATATTAGATGGTGATTCGTGAGATAGTAAATCATTTTCATAAAAAGCTTGGAATGCACCAAACATATTTACTATACCCCTGTTGTCATTGTCAGCTCTGATTGGGTGTTGTTTCTTGAAATGGAAATCATACCATGAATTGAAGAATAAGAAGAAACTCCCAACCACTTGAAGCCATGCAACCACTCCTCCATTTGGAATATCGGCATGAGCATTCGGAGCCACCTGAGGAAGTTCTTCGGCAACAATGTCAGAACCGTTACCCGATAATTTTTCTCCCTTTGATTCAAAAGATCCCTCGGGCGAAGTATTTTGATCCATATCGGTGGATATCTGATCCATCGGGCGATGAACGGGATCGGGTTCAGATTTGGGATTATGAATAGTATGTATGGTTACCATGGAACCGGTATGTGGCTTTCGGCGGAGTGCACAAATTGATCGTATTAATTGAATCTTATCCCATGTATATCAAGCGAGTAGATTCTTCTCTCTTATATTCATCCTTTCGCGCTCTGAAGGTCCCGAAGTGAGAAACTAGCAACAGATTCACCAATATTAAGAGCGCGGGTTGATATATAAGTAGACCGCGGATGTTGCGGTAGGATCTTCTTTGTTTTAATATCCGCCAATTACATGAATCGTTGGTGGTAAGATCGTCAAAGATGTGGAGAAAGATCGTGGAAGGTGTCAAGAGTGGATATGAGACATGGGAAGATTTCTTCAAAATCTTCTTTTCGCCCGAGCGTTAGTGACGGTATTGGGACTCGGGAAATAGGTTCAAGGCCGAGTTTCATGTCGGTGATTTATTAATGGAAAGGCGAAACTCATGGCGGTGGGTGATATCGATTTCGAGAAGTGAAGTCGAAGGTTTCACGGAGTTATGGTTGTTGGAGGTGTACTTTGAGGCAATGAGGCAATGAGGCAATGTCACTAGTTGTGCCATAAGAACGGCGTCAGCAGTGATCAGTCATCTTCTTCACGTCTTTTGAGCAGGACTGGCCTTTCACCTCTTGAAGGATGGTCTTGTATCGCCCTGATCAGTATCGTCGTCGTCATCATTATCATCCAAAAAATCGGAATCATGTCACCCCGGCATTGGGAGAAGGCAACAAAAGATATCAAGGACGTACATTCCTGATTATTATCAATGCTCCCCAAGGGAAGAGAAGCCGGCGAATCTTTGAGAAACAACGTATCGATGAACTCAGTATTTTCACGATACCTATTGATAGTAACTTTCTGCACAATTGAATTCGACGACAGTGTGACAAAATGATAGGTCACCCGCATTACTCTTGATTCTGTGGTGCACTGTCTGAAGTTGAGCTCGTACCCACCTATCTAGGTAGACTTTCATCGATTTGCGTTACTCATCTTATCCGAAACCGAAAGGATATAATACCTCGAGATAGCTCGCTTGCTCACCCACGAAGCATGCTTAAATATTCAGTCTTCACAATCTATCAAGACACGTGAACCCAGTACCAGAACGGGATTGATATTTGTACTGCCCTTGCGTACCTAACTAACCTCAACATATCGCCATTCAACGCGATCAAATACAAACACTATAATCTTAAGCCATCAACTGCCAACTGTCAGCCGTCAACCCTCTCAACTTTTTGAACTTACCACAGGACTACTTCCGACCTCAATCTATGCCCCTCAACTTCTCAAAAGCTCGACTCGTGCAGCAGCATAAGGTCTTGATAGAGTGCTAGCAGTTTTGATACCGAGCAATATCATTATTTGTAACTCGCCAAACTGTCCGCCATTGTCATGGAATGAATTGAGCAGTGTCCTCAGAAACAACATCCCCTCGCACGAGACTATAGAATGTGACTGATGACCGAGGTCTGGCTTTGGCGATGAGGCTCAACTCGCTGGCTAGAAAAGCAATTTCGGTACACGATGGCGTGCAAGCAGCGACGATTTCCTGTAGAGGCTTGCCACTGAGAAGATAGAGAGGTAGAAGTACGTCGACCAGCCCCTCGCCAATTTCCTGAAAGGTGAAGTTATCTGAGAAATAGCATAGATCCCCGTATTCAGTTCTTATTGGGTCGTCGACAGAGCGTGTGCTGTTGTTCCGGAGACAGAAATAATTCTCAACCGCATCATCAATCTTTTCGGGATATCCTAGAGTATGTTAATACTCACTCATCTATTGATAGTACAGGATATTACTGACCTTGGAAGTGGGGTTGTATACTGGCTCGAAAATGTTCTACATCTTTTGCATGCGCAAGGAAACAGCTTCCAACAACCGCCTTCAAACTATCTGATTTGATCCATCATCGACCTTTCGATATAAGATCATGAGCTCCCTCACGATTTCACTGGAATTCCATTTGATAGCTCACCGAATGAAGAAGTTTAAGAACGGGCAAAGCGACAACTTTACTCCCGCTCACGGTGTACAGAGACAATCCAGCTCTTGACGATGCTTCAGTTTCCTCTGCAGTCTCATTACAGACCATTGATGAATACAAGGATTCAGACGAACAACCTCCTTATCAATACATCGATGAACCTACTCCGATACTATCCGCGGACCCTGGTAACGGTACAACTCCCTTTTTTTTTCTCTCTGTTTTGACAATCGCACATCTATATCTAATACCTCTCAGTTCTCCTTCCGACCTTCCATTCTCTTCCCATGGCCTTGATTGCAGCGAATTCCGAACTCGTTGTCCAAACTTCTCCACAAACACAACTGCTTTATGTGAAATGACCCAAGAGCAAACCAAGTACCCGCCTCCCTAAATACTGGTAATGCTGCAGTGAATTTTTTGAGACAAGGCTTGAGAGTAGCTGGAGGGTTTAGTGCTAGTAGAGGTTGGGGTGGTGACTTGTTGATTATGGGGTTGACATAGAGGTTTGAAACGAATGCCGATGTGATCACTCCTTCTAACCAAATTTCTTCTAATGATCAAATATCACATAAGTTACTGAATTGCTTTCAAACATCACATGTAGTCACGATGGAGTATTCGTAAGCTTCCCTTATCAATGCTCATCTAACAATGGACAAATGTGGGGCGCACAGCATTAGTTTGACACTTCACGTGGGGAATTCCGAAGTAGAAGTTCTTTCCAAGTGGAATTGCGGTATCTAAGTAGCATCGTGATCGTGAGCATTCTCTGATATTATCTTTGAACACAAGATGGCCCAGGAATCCTCGATATAAAATTAAGCAATAACCCACATTGCAAAGATCAAAACATCTTCTTCACTTCATTTCATCGCATTATCATATCATTTACCGGTACTCCAATATGACAACTTCCAAATCTTGGCCTTATACCAATGGTAATGGAAATGCAGAGAATGTAGGCGCCACGGTGACTGAAGCAATCATTGAAACCGACTTATTGATTGTTGGCACTGGACCTGCGGGCGCTTCTTTGGCTTGTTTCCTAGGGCATCATGGTGAGTCAATGCGGATTTCTCGGTGCCTTGGCACGTGACCTTCATTGAGCCTTCCAAAAGAATGCCTTTTATGACTAGATGACTGCGGAAGAATAAAAGTGAAGGGAGAAAATGAATAATGATACTGACGTCCGTAGGCCTACGAGGAATGCTTATCGCGGCCACTCCCAGTACAGCCGATACCCCTCGAGCTCACATAACTAATATGGCAGCAATGGAGTGTTTGCGTGATATAGGTTTGGAAGAGGAGTGTTTGCAAGTCGCTGTTAAGGGCGATTCAATGTTACATACACGATGGTGTCGTTCTTTGGCTGGTGAGGAATACGCGAGGATTTACTCATGGGGGAATGATCCAAAACGTGCCGTAGGTCGACGAGCAGGTGATGATAGCATTCTGATGACTAACAATTCTCACAGGGTGATTATGATGCTGCTAGTCCATGCAATCATGTCGATATTCCTCAGACAGTTCTCGAGCCGATTTTGATCAATCGGGCCTCTCATAGTGGATTTAATTGTCGATTTGATACCTCATTTTTGTCCTTTGAACGAGACTCAACCTCGGGGATAATTACCAGCAAACTCCAAGACAATCTAACGCAACAAATATATCATGTTCGATCAAAATACTTATTCGGATGTGATGGAGCTCGAAGTCAAGTCTTGAGACAGTTACAGATCCCATTAATCAAGAAACCTGGGCAAGGATTAGCTATCAATGTATTGGTCAAGGCCGAATTGCAACACGTGATGGAAAATAGAATGGGAAACCTACATTGGGTCGTGAGACCTGAAGATGAACTGACCGCCTTTGGCTGGAATGGATTGATTAGAATGGTAAAGCCTTGGAATGAGTAAGTGCTTTATCAAGTCTCAAGGAGAACATACTAACTTTCCAGGTGGATGTTCATTCTTCTTCCCTCTCCTGATGCCGGAACAAATTTCAATCCTTCAGACGATGAGTATTTGAGATGTGTCAAGGATATGATTGGGGATAATTCAATCCACGCAGAAATACTTGGAATCTCGAAATGGCTGATCAATGAAACTGTCGCAGAATACTATTCTGATGGAAATATGTATGTATCCGAGCTCCCTTACCATGGGAAATTACTCGCTTACTTTATAAAGATTTTGCCTTGGCGATGCAGTTCACCGCCATCCACCATTCAATGGCCTAGGCTCTAACACATGTATTCAAGATGCATATAATCTTGCATGGAAGATCGCCTATGTCTTGAAGGGAAAAGCGGAGAGCGGTCTTCTCGATTCATATACCTTAGAACGCCAACCGGTGGGTCAATCCGTTATCACACGAGCTAATCAAGGACTTCGAGATCATGGTCCAGTATGGGAAGCTTTAGGAATGATGGACCCATCTGTCGAAATTCGACGAGAACATTTTGCAGAACTCTCACAAGCTACACCTGAAGGAGCAGCTCGGCGAGCACGCTTCCAGGCTGCGATTGAAGGAACGGCACACGAGTTTCATGCCGTGGGTACTGAGATGAATCAACGTTACGAATCTTCTGCAATCGTTCTCGCGGATGAGAAACCAAGACCAGCATTACCGGCAGACCCGGTTCTTGAGCATGAAATTACTACTTATCCTGGAAGTCGTCTCCCTCATGCGTGGTTGAATACTAGACTTCCAGGAAAACAGTTTTCCACTATTGATCTAGCTGGCCATAGACAGTTTTGCCTTTTTACTGGGATTGGAGGAGAGAAATGGAGAGCTGCTGCTGCCAAGGCTTCAGAGGCTCTTGGAGTTGAGATTAATGTATATTCCATCGGTTGGAAACAAGATTATGAGGATGTGTATTTTGATTGGGCGAGACGAAGAGAAGTTGAGGAGAGTGGTTGTGTGTTGGTTAGACCGGATAGATTTGTAGCTTGGAGAGCTATGGAAATGATTGATGAGCCAGAGGAGAAGTTGATGAGTGTTTTGAAGAACATTCTAAGAGGTTAGACAATACTTGTTTGTTTTCAAGATACTTGAACATCAACCCACATGATGAGATTCGCACATCTCTTATCCGAGAGGGCAGGGATTACAGAAGGGAAGCTTTCCGGTGCCTGATTGTATTTAGCCGGTGCTTATATCTTCTACATCACATGGGGAATATTGAATACACCTTGTATCTTTTGGAGTCTTCATGATGATCGATTCTATTCAAAGAATTTCCCACATCTCGAATCTGCATTGTGTGCCCGTCGAACAGACTTGTTTGGTGCGCTTCTACATGTGATGCGGGGTTGTGATTCCACGACCCCGCAATGGTACAACACAGCATCTGTTAATTGCCCATCAGCCAATAAATGTTGTCTGGTCGTCATTTTTTGATTGATTCGTGCCCAAATTGAAAATAAAGAGTATTTCTATCGTCAGCCATGAAGTTAAGTGATCGTAGTCAAAAAGAGCTCAGCAATCGTTGCATGAGCTTTCATCCTTCAATTTCAAAGAAAGTCTATCCCAACTCTCAAAAATCATGCTCTACTCCGAAGGAAACCGTCTAATCTACCGCTACGACGCCGAAGAACTCTGGATAGATCCCTGGGGCCCCAACGCATTTCGAATCCGTTCTACCAAGGAATCCCAGTATCCCGATCCTTCTGAACTCTGGGCTCTCCAAGAAATCGACTCTCCAACCCCAACTATCCAAATCGAAGAGAAATCAGCCTCCATCACCAACGGCTCCATCCGCGCCACAATTTCCTCTCGCGGCAAAATAATCATCTACAACGACGAGGGAAAGATTCTCCTAGAAGAATACGCACGACATCGACTCGACGTCACCGATCCCAAATGTTCCGCCATCAACATCGAAGCACGAGAATACAAACCCAACCCCGGCGGCAGCTCCACCCACCATCTAACCCAACGCTTCGAATCTCAATCCCGACACGAAAAAATCTTCGGCATGGGTCAATACCAACATCCCTATCTCGATCTCAAGGGACTGGATCTGGAGCTCGCCCATCGGAATTCCCAAGCCAGCGTTCCCTTTGCCATCTCCTCTCTCGGGTACGGGATTCTCTGGAATAATCCCGGCATCGGCCGCGCGGTATTCGGGAAAAATATCATGAGTTTCGAAGCTTATTCTACTTCCTTTCTCGATTATTGGGTTGTGGCTGGAGATTCCCCCAAGGAAATCCTACAGCGCTATGCGGATGTCACGGGTAAGGTTCCCATGATGCCGGAATACGGATTGGGGTTTTGGCAGTGCAAGTTAAGGTATCAGACGCAGGAGGAATTGTTGCGTGTAGCGCGCGAATACAAAAAGAGGGAGTTACCGATTGATGTTATTGTGGTTGATTTTTTTCACTGGCCGCGACAGGGAGATTGGAGGTTTGATGAGAGGTTTTGGCCGGATCCTGATGCCATGATTGGAGAATTGAAAGAGATGGGGATAGAGCTTATGGTGTCGATTTGGCCGACTGTGGATACGAGGTCGGAGAATTTCGAAGAGATGCTCGAGAAAGGGTATTTGGTGAGGACGGATCGTGGAATTAGGATTGTCATGGATTTTGAGGGTGATACGATTCATTTTGATGCGACGAATCCGGGGGCGAGGAAATTTATCTGGGAAAAAGCGAAGAAGAATTATTATGACAAGGGGATTAAGGTTTTTTGGTTGGATGAAGCGGGTGAGTATTTTTGATTCTTTAATCTCAATCTCATCTTATCCAGCACTATACCATACCTCTTTGACTTCAATAATCTACCCAGAGAGAGACTAGATAGCTAGAGATAAATAGATCTAGATAGCTAACTCCCCACCCAGAACCCGAATACACCGCCTACGACTTCGACAACTACCGCTACCATCGCGGCACCAACCTCTCCATCGGTAATACCTACCCCGTCGAATACGCGCGGGCTTTCTACGAAGGCATGACCGCCTCAGGCCAAACCAACATCGTGAATCTTCTCCGCTGCGCCTGGGCCGGTTCCCAAAAATACGGCGCGCTAGTCTGGAGCGGGGATATCGCTTCCTCGTGGTCTTCATTCCGCAATCAACTTACTGCGGGATTGAATATGGGACTGGCGGGAATTCCATGGTGGACCACTGATATTGGGGGTTTTCATGGGGGAGATCCGACGGATCCGGCGTTTCGGGAATTGTTTGTGAGGTGGTTTCAGTGGGGGACGTTTTGTCCGGTGATGAGGTTGCATGGGGATCGAGAGCCGAAACAGCCGCAGGTGGGAGAGGGAGGGGGATCGACGTGTTTGAGTGGTGCGGATAATGAGGTTTGGTCTTATGGGGAAGAGGTTTATGAAATTTGTAAGAAATATATGATGTTACGAGAAGAGATGAGAGATTATACAAGGGGGTTGATGAAAGAGGCTAGTGAAAAGGGGAGTCCAGTAATGAGAACTTTGTTTTATGAGTTTCCGGAGGATAAGAAATGTTGGGAAATCGAGGAACAATATATGTTTGGGCCAAAGTATTTGGTTTGTCCTGTGTTTGAGGCTGGGGCAAAAAACATCAAGGTTTATCTTCCAGCAGGGACATCTTGGTCGCTGATTGGTAAAGAGAGAGATGAATCCTGGGAAGGAGGGCATGAGATTGAAGTGGCTTGTTCCATTGACACTATACCTGTATTCACTAGACAAGAGTAGGATAAGAGTAATGTCAAGTTATAATTCTCAAGAAGTCTCGAAAATGAGGCGAGCTCCTTTCCATGACCCGAATCGTTGATTAATACTGATTACTAACGTGAATTGTGTTGCCCTAGAGGATCGAAAGGTAAGATAATCATATAAATACAGGCTTCAGACTTCAGATTTACAAGCTGGCCTTTCCCCGACTTTCATATGGCAATATCAACACCAATAGTCCTGCTGCAATGAAAAGAGCTCCGCTTGTGTAAACTGGCGCCGAAGTTTCGAGATTGGCGAACATTGCAATAATAGGCTGCAAAAAGATTAGTCAATGTCCGTGGAAACTTTTTGACGGTCCAGTAATCTAAATCAATAAATGGAGAAAACCTACCGCCATAATCCCGAATATTCTGTTCGAAGTCGCCGTAAGAGCATTGCCCGTACCACGATCTTTGGTAGGAAATATTTCCGGTGTATATGCGTACAAAACAGCATACATCACATTGGAACAAAAGTTGAAAGCACAATTCCAACCCAATAATGCAGTAGATGTCATGGCCGTGGTTGAAGCATATAAGAATACTCCAGTAGCTGTCGTACTAAGAGCAAGAGTTCCTTTTCTACCCAAACTTGGCACCTCAATAAGGTAGCCACCAATAAGAGCGCCGGGAATCCCAAGCACAGATATGATCAGAGAGTTGCGATACGTCAAATATGTACTTCCATCTCCAAATTCAGCACCGCGAGTTGCTTGGATATAAGGAAGAAATGCGTTATAGAGTGGATATCCAAGACCAATGAATGCCCACACTAGCATAATCAAACCTGTAGAGAAGGCCAGCTTCCTTGTTGCAAATAAGGCACGAACATGAGATAAGTCCATTTGATGGAGTTTTCTTGACAAGGTTGCCGAGGCGTTGATGTGAGGAAGGGTGCCACAATCCTGAAGACGGGTGACAGTCACTATAGAAGTTTAGTATGTTTCAAGACAAGAAGAAATGAATGAGGTATACTTACAATTCGACTGTTTTCCATTTCTCCTCGCAACTTCCTGCACGACCTTAACTGCATCTTCATCTCTTCCCTTCCCCATCAAATATTTCGGACTTTCGAATATCGTAAAACACGTGAAACGAATGAAAAACTCAATCATAGAGATACCTCCCATAACGATAAGGAAATATCTCCATCCCATATTCTGTGATCGAGTGCATGTTAAACCTTCTTGGCACGTGAGGTTTCCCAATAAAGGCCAAGCAATTAAATTCGCAATAACTTGAGCTACAGCCCAGTCGACTGAAAGAACAGTAAGAAGATATTGATGAGAACCAGGAAGGAACTCGAGGAAAACTGCTGAATCGACGGGAAGATTCCCGCCTACACCAAAACTCCAGAGAGCTGCAAAACATCCAATAGCTGCAAAATTTGGTGAACCCGCAGCAATCAATCCAAAAACGGCGGTGATACCAAGCGTAGCATTAAAAGCTAAACGTCGACCAAAAATATCGCAACCAAAACCCCAAAACATAGCACCAGCCAGAAGGCCAATATTTTGAGCTAGAGTGAGTAGAGGTGGGTGCTTGGGCGAGAATTCATTGGTAATCGACGTGACTGTGTTCGTTGTTAGCTTTCTGAATAGAGAAAAAGACAAACTGGGATTGAATAGGTACATATAAGTGATGTAACAATTGGCCACAAGTTATCATTCGCCCAGCCAAATCCCACCACGACAAATAGTTGCCATTGATACCATCCCATGCCAATATCTTGGATCTGAGTAACATCACATGATCAGCGTCCATTACGTTTGAGCAGAGCCATCTGAATGTGGGGAGAGATCCAATCTTACAGCTTCATTCAAAACTCGAGCTTTTGCTTCATATATTGGATCGATTGTTCCAGGTGGTATCGCAGTCAAATTTAGACTCTCGACTTCTGACCGTTGAACGTAATCATCGTTGACATTCCCGTGTTTGACATCAGGTTCACCATCGTTTTCATTTGAGGAGGCAGGGTCGTTGTTAAGAATTTCGTTCGCCATATCAGCTTGTTCGCTGGTCGGTAATCTCTGATACCTCATCAGGGTTGCTGAAACCTGAGAAGCAGGCCTCACTAAGTACTTATGAATCGTTCTTGCTATCGGAAATCCTAGGCTAAATTAGTGCACGCCTGACGTCTGTTGCGTAAGACTTCACTCATGCTGTGGAACGGTGAATTCAGATCTTGGGATGCTATTGGATGTTCCAAGCCAAGTGTCCCGTCTCGATTTTTGTTTGGGAGGGATATGATAAAGATGTGGCAGGTGAAATTCAATGCTCTGATATCGAAAGTGTGAAGATTTGCGGTTGGGTGGCCAATATCAGGCAATCAATCTCAGGTAAGGTTAAGGTTAGTGTATAAACCTCGAAAACGGCGAAAAGACAGGCCGATCTCGACGAGTAGTTCAAATTGGACGTTGCATTAGGGTTTAGCTTGACCCATCACAGTAAGAGCTTATGAGGCCGCAAAGCAGCAATGAGGTGGCAGCGTACAAGGTTAAGAGTCAAAATCGAATGGTAACGCAGAGTAATCACACCATGCAAGCCATGGATTCCATCGAACACTTTCCCACTTCGGATTTCTTTGAATAAACCAACATTGAGATAAGACGGTTGATGTGTTTAGCTTCGTACATTTATGTTAACCTTCGATTGGATATTAATAACGGTCTAGTCGTCCTCCGCGTGCCAGATCTTCATCATCTAACCACACACCGGGGGTATTATGTAGTAGAGAATGCAACCCCACACGATCCGCTATTCTCACACCCCAGAAAATCTACGATCGCACCTGCAAACGGTTACATGGATGTTCACCTCCTTGAGCCATGGTGGTAACAGTCACTTCTGCTTGATCATTAATCCGTTCAACACCAATTTCTCTCGACCATCTATTGTCTTTTCAATATCTTCTCACTTATATTGAGGCTGAAGCGGTTGGAATATCTCCCCGGTCATTAGACTTGCGTGCGGATCTAATCTCGCCTGCGGATTCAATCTCACCAACCTTCTTTGCTTTAAATCACCAGACAATCGGAGGTTATATAATAAGATGGTCACTTCAGATGGATGTTACGAAATGTTAACGACTACTTGAATCATCTCCAGCACAACCTGCCTCGAAAACAATGGATGACAATGCTCTGAAATTGGAGTTTTCAGCCTCCGATGAACCCATTACCGAATCTAAACCCAACGCGCAAGGAAATGGTCTTAATATCCCCAAATGGAGGCTCGTGTGTCTATGTATCAGGTAGTTTCTCGACCTTTCTTGTACTGTTGGAATTTTATTAACATTGTAAATTCTCTGTTCCGATCTTTTCCTCGCGCTGCTAGATACCAGTATCGTAGCAACAGCTCTCTACACCATCGGTGTAGAATTCAATTCTCTCAACTCCATTTCATGGATAGCTCTCGCATACACCCTATCCTGCCTAGGTTGTACTGTGTTATTCGCAAGAATTGGTGATATTACCTGTCGAAAGAATGCATATACTGCAGCATTCATCATATTCTCCGCCTTCTCAATTGCGTGCGGATTCGCGAAAACACTGAACCAACTTATTGCATTCAGAGCTTTGCAAGGCATAGGTGGCTCGGGTCTGTATTCTTTGACCATGGTTATCTTCCCTGAAATCAGTCCCCTGGGAATGTGAAGATGGATTGGAGGTTTGGCGGGCGCAGTGGTTGCAATGAGCGGAGTACTTGGTCCGGTTATCGGAGGTATCGTTACCCGGTACACAAGTTGGAGATGGATATTTTGGATGAAGGTAAATGAACCGACCTATTAGAAAGAGCCAAAGCTAATAAATTCATAGTGCACCAACCGGCATCGTGCCTTTGATATTGTTCTATCTGGTTTGGCCAAATGAAACTCAACTCCATCAGTCCAAACGCAGACCCCTTCGACAACTTGATCTTGTTGGGGCGTGTATCCTAATCCTCGCTTCTATCCTTTTCGGCTTCGCATTCCAAGAAGCAGGACTCAAAACAAATTCTTGGAATAAACCACCATTCCTCATACCCCTAATAGTAGGAATAGTCTTTTGAATCTTACTGTTCGCTTGGGAGTTCACAGTGCATCAAAAGTGGGAAGAAAACCTCGCAACGACGTTTCCATGGAGACTCATCAAGAATAGAGTCTACATGTTCGGTCTAGCCACCACTTTACTTATGGGATTTCCTTACTTTGTGGTAATTTACAGTCTGCCGCTACGCTTCCAGGTTGTCAATGGGAAGAGTCCGTTGACCGCAGGACTGAGATTACTACCTATGTTAGGATCAACCGCGGTAGCGAGTTTTCTAGGCGGAATGCTTAACGGAAAAAAAAGTAGAGTATTTTTAACTCTGCTCGCGGGATCTGGACTAAGTGTTATAGGCACTGTTTCTCCGTCTACATTATCAAATACCGAGTATGTAGAAGCTAAGACCTATGGCTTTTTAGTATTTGTCGGTTTAGGCTTCGGATTAACAGTATCAACAGTATCAATGCTAGTAAGCACCCCCACTAAACCATTTCTCACCATACTTTCATCAGCTAACAATCCCAAAGTTCAACTACGAATCCTCCATCCGCGACCACGCCGTAGCCCAAGGCATCACATCACAAGCACGCATCCTCGGCGGCAGCATCGGCATAGCAGCCAGTACTACCATCCTCAGTCGATCCCAACAAACACAATTAACCGACATCGTAACCCGAGAACAACTTGCCTCGTTAGAATCTTCAGCAAATTCAATGACATTTACGCAACTCCATGCAGTGAGACAAGCTTACGCGGATTCGTTTAGCGAGGATATGAAAGTTTGCGCGATAGTGGCGGGTTTGTGTGTTTTGGTAGTGGTGGGGACGTGGAAGAGGAATTTGGTTACGGTTGAGCAGAGATTTCGGGAGCAAATTGAAAAGGAAGTAAGGAGGTTGAAGGGTGGAGTTACTCAGGTGAGGGGTTTGGAAGAAGGGAAGTCTTGAGTGTTAGATATTATTGAGATTGAGTTAATAAATTCACGTCACCTATGGCCAGAGATGATTGATCTGTAATGCTGTATTTCTCCTCTTCTTTCTCCGCCTAGTCAACGTAATATCAGTGGGTATCACTGTTGTCACAAAGTGAGGAGCACGTATGATTCTCATGTTGAGCTAGTGTTACAACAAGTTGAATAAGCGAAGGGAAATGATCTCATCAAGTGTAGAAACAACCAGAGGTTGAAATGAAAGAGGAAAGTGTATTCTTTACCTATGTATACACCCTGGTGGCGAAGAGACCAGTAAGAAGTGATCTTGTATGAGATGAATGAAGCCAGGGCAAAATCCATAGCCAGATGGAATAATTTCTGATTCCAGAACCATCAAAGGGTCGAGAAAGATCTAAATCCTTGGTAGTCTGTTGACGGACACTCATTATTCGGTTGAATCATTCAACCATGACTATCTGATGCTTTAATTAGCTACAAGAATCTAGCAAATATCCAGCTTATTCCCAAAAATAAACCGCCTCCAAGAGAGATCAAGAATTCCATTACACCCTCTAGCTCCACTAATATATTCCAGACAAACACCACCAATACCATACCCAAACTTCCACGATTTTCTCCAACTCTCTCAATACTCTCAAAAAAGACCATCACCAAACCCATTTCTTCCCATTCTTTTGCTCCCACGAGCCGAGAATATCATCCGAATCCTCCTAAACCTCAAAATTGACCTAAACAATGACTCTCCTCTCTCATTATCTTTCCCGTCTGATTCATCTCATCTTCATATTCACTACCTTCAAAGTGCCGACTTACCGAGACCATCTCCGACACCTCACTTTTTGACCGTCCCGTTTTCGAAATCGACAGCAAAACCCGTCCGGTCTGTAAGTACTATCAGATCAAATTGTCACGTATCAGACAGGCCAACCCAACGCAATCAGATCCACCGCTCTCCTCAAGTCATCTCTATCAAATCCCAACTTGGTAAATCCATAGTCTAAAATCCAGTTGGTACGATACTAACCGACAAAGTAATAGCATACAGGCTCCGAAGACATCTCGAACTCCCCCTCTGCCCACAAGCTTCGGCCCCTAAAGTAGCTTTATTAGTAAGCTATCTATGCAGACCAAAATGAGTCGATCCAAGGTTATTTACTGATATAAATGGTCTGACAACAGTTCACGCAGACCAAAATCAGCGCGATCGTATCCTCTCAAAACGATGTCCTCCTTAAATCCATGTGCACCCGTTTTTATACCTTCCCCACGACCATTACCCCCAATACCCCATTACTTGGCTGCGGTAAATGCTGCTGGATATGCATTCGTTGCTGCTTATCCCAGACATCCCCTCGCAGATTTCGCCGCTGAAGAAGTTCGAACGGCAGTAGACGAACGAGCACTTCTTTTGCACCAAAAGGAGGAGTTGAGAGAAAAAATGTTGGTGTTTCATTTGAATAAGTTTTTGCTGGGTACTGAAGAGGAAAGGAGGGTAGTGAAGAGTAAAGAGTGGTTTAAGAAGCAAGAAGTGTCGATTGTGCTTGAATATAAAACAACATGTGCGAAGTTGGGCCAGCGACCTGAGGTTGGTCATTGGTTCTTTTGATGGCAAACATCGTTCAATAAATAGCACAGACATCTTTTAGCCTTGTATAATGGAGGTGGGATGATGGGCTAAAAGATTTGAGATGAGTGGAAAAGAGACGCGACAACGATCTTCATTTGCGTAGAATGGGATGAAGTGCTTGGATAGAATGAGAAACATAATGGTTATGTGGGATGAGATTTCCAACTGGCAGCTTGTGGCTGTCTGATTCTTGTTGGTAGTTGTAAAAAGCAATGAGATCGTTTTGGCACTGCAATACTTGATAGGCATCTTGAGTGAGGCTTTTCCGAGGTTTGAAATCCGCTCAGAACTCGAAAAATAACATGCCGATGGAGCTTTTCTCGACTCGAGAATTGCCTGCTTGAGCCGTAGTTCCAACCTTGTAGTTGGCTGAAAAGAAAACACTGAGATAACAGTCGAAGATGAACACTGAAGGATACATAAAGCAAAAAATAACATGAGAATCAATCGAAGCATGGCGCGTGGGTTCGAGGTGTTCCTTGGCTAAAAGCTTGACTTCATGGGCTCAGATCTGGGAACTTCATTTAATACACCAACTTTGGTGATCTTGAGAAACGGGCAGAATAGTTGTAAAATTCGATCTTTGTAACAAACTCCCTAAAGAGAATATGATCCTGCATAGGAAAAGACAATGTGCTTTGAGGGGCTTTCGAGGTCTTTGTCAAATTGGAGTCTGTGGAATAGACCAATATAGTCTTCGAGGTGTCGAAGTTTCAAAGTTCCAGCTGGAATGAATATCTGGAGGTAAAGGTTAAATAGACATTCACTATCTCTTACCCCTCCCAAATTTAAGATTGAAGGGAAATTCTGAAAAGTGAATTCACTCGATAATGCCCAAATGAAAAGTTCAATGACATGGAAGGAACATAGATAGTTTGAGACCTCGAAGCTGAAACCCAAGACCTGACCTTCTTATTCCTCAAGGCCTACAACTGAAATGTATCTCCAAATACAATAGCAGCAACAATCATATAGTAAGTCCTCTCTGCTGCAGTATTTGATTATGGTGCACCGTACTGAGTCGAGCTGACAATGAGACACAGTCTTTATTCCTCATGGCTTACACATTCGTCTTGCCTTGCAGATCGGTCTCCCATGGCCTTACCGATCTCTATTTCAATGATGAGCAAGTCGATATTATGGGTCATCAAAGCGAGTACGATGCAGATGTAGAGACGACCGATATCGAGGAGGATGAAGCTCCGCAGTACGAAGCCAATAAAAAGACCACTGCAACCACTCAAGCAACGAATCCCCTAATCATTACTTGGAAGGCCCTCAAAACTGCACAATCGGGTATCTCAGGGGTCAACGTGGCTCAAGTTGATATCTTAGCTCAAGCTGATATCCTTCAAGACGGAAACTGGCACGCTGTTCATACTTCGCAGATCGAACCCATCCGGACCAATCTTCCTCGATTCGGCGGCTGGACACCCATCAACAATCCACCAAGCAACTCGTCACCGGTCGATTTTACACAAGTAGAAACTTCGGAAACCGATAATACCCAATGTAGCGCCGTTCATCTTAGTGATTGGTCGGTCACCAGTGGCTCGCAGACCGATACTTCGCAAGCCACCAGTGTTGAGCCCGCCAAGCCATCTAGCTACCCTCAGATCTGGAAAACTTCGCATTTGCATTCGAGCAATACAACAATTCATGCCAAGACGACAATGGCTGATATGCCCCAGCTCAAGATTTACTTCAGAAGGTACAAGAAAGAGTACACCTCCACGGCCGCTCAAGACCAAATCAAATGGTTCAGATACCGCATTGCATGCTTGAATACGGGCAAGAAGAGTGTTGCCAATACTGAGATGGCAGATATAAAGCTACAATGGGGCAGACTCTTGGAGAGACGTAGATGGTTGAAGCAAGAAATGACGAGAATCAAGCATATTTATACAATGGCAAAACGTAGACATCAAGAACGCTTGAAGTATGAATTGAGGGCAAGTTATGATATTGGATTTATCAAGTCACTTAGAAAGGATTGAGTGAATGCCGAGGAAAGGAAAGGACATTATTTTCGGGGAAGTAGAAGACTTGAGATGCTTACATCCAGCAAATATCTTTTTTGGTGTATCGAAGGTCTTTTACCAGCAGCGTATGGTGGAATATGATGAGTTATCGACAATTATTAACATAGGAGATACTCCAAGATAAATATGGGTAACAATTATAACATACCAACTCTACTTTTCATTCAAATGGTGATCAAAGGCCTGTCATCTGGACAATGAATCTGGTATTCGAGATGTAATCTTACAAGATAATCATGGGCTTGAAAGTATGGAACTTCACGAGCAAGAGACAAAAGACAATGATGCGTTTTGAAGGAGCCTGTCAAAATCAGGATTACTAAAGGAAAGAAGGGCAGGTAGAATGCGCTTGCAATTCCGCCCAATGAATCAAAAATGGCAGTTGCGTCGTCGCGTAACTCTCTTATTTTTACCAGGTAATTCATTTCCATCAATCACAACATACATTCAAGAATCATCTCATCAATCTTCCCATTCACCAGCAAGATCTGCAAGATGGCGATTCTACCTGGGGTTCCATTTATTAGAGTTACAGTCAATGCTCCCAAAATTTCAGCAGAATATCCCGATCTTGACGACAATGAGGATGGGAACACGCAAAATGGCCCTCAACACAAGATGTCCGTTTATATCGAGTCCAAGACGGGTACGAAGTTTGGTTTGCAGTACCTCATTGATCCTGCGAAGATTCCAAAGTTTAACAAGAAGAAAAATTACTGCTTGGGGTTTTTTGCTATAGTTGATGGAAGAAAGACGAGGTAATCAGATGAACCCAGATCTTGCTAAACTTCGTTCTTAAGCTGAGTATTTCAACAGTTCAACGGTAATTTGCAATGAGAATGGATTCAAACCGAACAATTGGGCGCATATTTTGACAGGAGACCGCCTCAGACAACCCGGAAACACAAAGTTGAGGCCATTCCAGTTTTCTGAGATTCAAATAGGTAAACCGATCTTCAACCCAATCGCGCACATAGCTGATGTTGATTCCATAGGAGACGACGCCCCTTTCTCACACAACCCCAAAGAAGTCTCGCAGCTCGGAGAAATCATAGTCCAGGTCTGGCGTGTCCGTAAAGTTGTTCCGGTGGCAACACCAATCTCTACACCGGAACAGGAGTCGATGCCAATAAATACAAAGTTTCACGAAAAACAGTTGAAGGGCAGAGCTTTAACTCATGCAACAGAGTACGTGAGAAGATACGGTCTATAATTCAACGCGGAAGCTGACCTAATACAACAGGCTTGGAAAACCACAAAAGATACCGGACCAGGAGACGTTCTATCAGCTTGAATATCTTGATCCAGTTAGCAAGCCACTTGCCGAATTCCATTTCAAATATAGGTCAAGGGAGGTTTTGCAGAAAATGATGGTAAGTGCCTTGTTAGTCCTCTGCTCTTTGACAATCAACCTCCGATTATCAAAGGATTTTCAAATTTCTAGTTGGACAAGAAAGACTGACCGTAAAATTAAGATACTTCCTCAAGACCCGGTATTGACACCAAAAGTTAATCGAGCTCCTTTACCTTCTTTGCCTTCGAAGCCTTTACCCGGGGTACCAGTAAATCCTGCCCTAATTGAAAGCACAACCAAAAGGCATAGTGTTCCTGACAAGGGTGCTGTTAAAGGAGTCCAAGCATCGACTTCTCAAAAGCATAAAGCTGTCTCTGAAATGGCCACGCCACCCCCACCAGTCACAAAGTCAGTGATCACAGGGAGGTCCTTCGATCCGGTAACTGGTGCCTTCTTGTCAATGCCAGTGCTGCCCCCGCTGTCAGTTATTACTGGCAGATCGTTCGACCAGGCAACGAGCAATTTGTCCACCAGTGCCTTTTCCTCATCAACAACACCAACACAGAAATTCTGTCAGATGATTCCCAAAGTTTCGACTGGCCCTATGCTCGCGTCATCCACAAAAGTGCTTCCAGCAACGCCAACTGCTCCCATAGGAGAGATCAGATATCCAATCACTCCTGCTTTTGGATCGATTTCACAGGTAGCAGCACCTAGTTTCATTTCAAAAGCTAGACCTGCAATGCCAGTAGAGACACCAACAGAAGCAATGTTTAAACCAAATGCTATGGCCCTCAAATCAGGTGAAATGTCTGACAAAAGCACCGCCAATCAAGAAGGGCAACCAGTAAACAACCAAAACAATAACCAGAGACCTTCGGCACTTCCATTCACACCTGCTACACCTAACCTTATCGGCCAAGTAGCTTTGGAGCCTGGTGCTACTCCATTTACACGAGTACTAATGGAAATCCAAAGAAGTTTAGGTCAATTAAGAGACATAGCAAAGGGTTTTAACGTTGTGAACGTAGTCGAGGTATGTGCTATCATTCAAAGATTTAATCCAAATTGGACCATCAGTCTCTCACGTATTGTCGGTAACACTAACTCGCTACGCAGGTCCAAGAGGATATCTCACGAGTCGTTAATGAAGTGCAGGCAGAGGTCGAAGGACAGGCCAGATCTGAGGTGAATCTGAAGCGCGAACATGTAGATGAACCCGATGAAGACGAGCCCGAAGTCATCCTTGAGCGTCCTGTTAAAAGACGACACATCTTTACAGCCGAAGATGAAATCATTGATTTGACTGCCGACTAATCGAGCGGGTGAAAGCGAGAGGAGAAGCAGTACTATTTAGTGGAAACTGCTACACATAGATGAACGTAGGAGAAAGGATTCCGGCGCAAGGAAGTTCTGCGCAGTAATAATGGGAAGGATTTGATCGATTATTGGGCAGGAGCGATATTGGCGCTTTCATGACTTTTGGTGACATATTTATCTTCACGACCACATATGTATACGTGTTGTATTGATGCATATGGGGAACTTGCCCATAGTTCTTATTATAATTCATAATGAAAGCTGTACTATAAGACGGAACAGAATCGTAGAAAGAAAGGCTGAAGGGTATAGCAATGTGAATTCATAGTAATACCTTAGTTGCGACGCTCAGAAGCCAAGCAGCATCATGCCATCCATCGGCTTCATTCGGATTAAGTGGTGGCATTTGCTCAGCAACTGGTGTGTCACTCATCCCATCGAGAGTATGTCGCGACGGTCGTGATGACAATGATGATTTCTCCTTCTCATCTGATGTATCGAATTCGGCTTCTTCTCCATCTTCTTCAACAGCAAATAAACTCCAGCCTAATAAGTTTTCTACCCAGCCTCCGAGTCCCAGTCTACTCGCTCTAGCCAATTTCTTAACCGTTGCTTCGTCTTTCCTTGCCTCGTCACCATCCTCAGGCCATTCTTCTTCCACATCTACAAAATCTGGCTCTGCAGGATATTCTTCATGTGCGAATTCTGTATCGAAGTATCCTCCATCTTTATCTGCTGTCAATGGTGTGATCGGTGCCGCTCTACTTCCTCTCCTGCTATTCGCTCGACTCCCTATTCTACTATTTGCTCGACTGCCATATTTACTTGCTGATCTATTGTATGCAGGCCCAAAACTTAAACTCCGTCTCGTTGTGAGTGGTGAGAACTCATCATCCGCATCGAAACTTCCTCTTCTGCTATTATGTCCTCTTTCTCTGGCGAGCTCCCGCTCAAATGCATTTTCATCCTCATCCTTTTGTAAACATGTTGAACTTGCGCGTGAGACGAGCCATAATTGGCCCTTGGACTCTCGAGTAGAGGATGATATCATGGCGCCGGCTCGCAGAAGCCAATCTGAATCATTGGGGCTTTCTTCGCTGAATGTACTGATTTTTAGATTATCTGGGGCGATCGTGTTTCTTAAATGTGAGTGGCGTGAGGGTGTAGTTGTGCCGGAGCGGTGGCCGGGCGTACGGGGCGTGAGAGGGTTAGGAGCGAGGTGAATACTTGATTTTGATTTGGGGATAGAGAGATTCATTGGGGCGGGTTTGCGTACGGAAACGCGGGATGAGGAGCGAGAGAGAATGGAAGGGGTTGTAGGAGAAGAGCGATTGTCAATATAGGATGTATGGTCGGGGAAATAATCGTCATTTGAGGGAGGAAGTTTGGTAGTTAGGGGCGCCATGGTTAAATTTGTGAGATTGGTTGAAGATCGGTGGTGCCGTCGGTTATGAGGAGAGTGTTGGTTGAACGCGATATCCATTGTAGTCTATCTGAGGGGGTCAAGAAATCTATCGGAGAGAATTAGGATATAAAGTCTACAATGCGCAAGTATCCCACTGATATGATAGGAGCCGTATAAGAAGAATTGAATGTCTATTGAATCAAATAGGCCGAGAAGTGGAATGTTGATAGATATAAGAAGAGAAGTCTCACCACCAATCCTCTGGTTAAACCTGGGGTTACAGGGAAAGTCACACACTAAAGATTTTAGCGTTTCTCGCTTACACATTCTGAAGAATGCACCAAAGAAAAAAACTGGCTTGTGAAAATGACCGGGATACGATTTTCCGACGAATCATTACCTGAACAAAAAGGATGACTTGAGATTTATTTGTATAAATTTTAATCTTCACATGTTTTGAAATATTAATATCGAGAAGATGAGAAATTTAAGAGGGATCCAATATGAGCAATGGAGGCCTCCTGCGCAATATCAGAATAGACCTATAACAGCGGCGGCGTGGGATCTGGCAAATGATGCTGTCGTTTGTACCGTTGGTCCTACTGAAAATGACGCAGTAATACAACTTATTAGAGTCAAGACAACCTCAAAATCACTGTATATATAATTTCCTGATTGGGCCGTCTTTGGATTTGGCTGATTTGAAAATTTTAGTGACGACACTCTCATCACATCATGGGAAGCACCATCACCGAACCCGGATTTGGCCTGTGACAAAGTGTTAAGTCTTCATCATTTTGGAGATAGCTTGACGACATGTCTTGTTCTTGCAGGTGGCGACATCGTTGTCGTTAGAGAAGATCCTCAACCTGGTGAAGGTCAGATTGAAATTATGGGCTCAGTCGATGCTGGTATCACTGCGGCAAGATGGTCACCTGACGAAGAATTGTTGGCAATCACAACTAAGGAAGATACCGTCATTTGGATGAGTCGCAGCTTCGATGGCGTTGCAGATATTACCATGACCAAAGAGGATCTGAAAGCTTCAAATCATGTATCTGTTGGTTGGGGTAAGAAGGAAACCCAATTCCAAGGCAGAGGAGCCAAAGCTTTACGAGATCCGACTATGCCTGAGAAGACTGATGAAGGTGTTCTGAGTCCAAATGATGATTCGAGTGTCACTATCAGCTGGAGAGGTGATGGAGCTTATCTTGCTATATCTACTATTGAATCAGCTGCCCGTCGTATAATTCGAGTATATTCCAGAGAAGGTGAACTCGATAGTGTCAGCGAGCCCGTAGATGGTCTCGAAGGCGCTTTGAGCTGGAGACCTTCTGGAAATTTGATCGCCGGCATTCAACGACTGGAAGAAAGAATCGATGTAGTATTTTTTGAGCGTAATGGATTACGACATGGAGAATTCAGTCTCCGACTCACTCAAGAGCAACGTCAACTTCCTAATCAGTACATCAAATTAGCCTGGAATTCTGATTCTACGGTGTTGGCTGTTGTGATGGCTGATTGCACTCAGTTATGGACAATGGGTAATTATCATTGGTACCTCAAGCAAGAGATTAGAAACCATCACGCTCCTTTGGTTGCCACTAATCCTGTCGCTTGGCACCCAGAAAAGCCGCTGAAATTCTTGTCTGTTGCTGAGGACACTATTGATCTTGCAGAGTATATTTTCACGACATCTCGTGGTACTTTGGCACCACCGCACGATTTTGGAGTGCTCGCTGTTATTGATGGACAAGATCTCATGGTCACCCCTTTCCGAGTAGCAAACGTCCCACCTCCTATGGGTCATCACGAAGTCACAATACAATCCAATGCCATCGATGTTGCCATCAATGCTGATGCTTCATTACTTGCCGTTCTACATCAAGATGGTATTTCAATTTTCGAATTAGATGCTACCAAACGGGTCGCACCTACTCCGACATTGTCTGGTCAATTTACATTTGATTCTGCCATCAAATCCACCATTTATCAACAAATTACATTCAGTGCCAAGAATGAAATACTCGCCTTGGGTCGAACCGAAACTGGCCCGGTTATTCAAGGATACTATCTCACTGAGATACCTGGTGAAATGAAAGAAAAAGCTCTTGAAAACAACCCTACATCATCTGTATCAATATTATCAAGCTTTGTTGAAGATGGTGCAATGCATCCATACGCCCAAACTAGCTCCGGTGACCTTCATAGCTTAGCTTTCGGCGATGCATCCTTATCTTTCTGCAATTTCTCCAAGCAATTACCTTGGGTCGATATCATACCATTCGGTGACGGTCCAAATGCTTATGGAGATGGCTGCATAGCTTTTGGGTTGTCTAGTAACGGTCATTTGTTTGCAAACACACGCCTACTGGTCCGAAACTGTACATCATTCTTAGTTACACCGGCACATCTTATATTTACTACCACCACCCATCTCCTCAAATTTGTTCACATCACAGAAGTTCATGGTACGTATTTCCGAACCTCGCTGTACATGTTTCAATGCTAATACCAAACAGATCTTGAGGTTCCAGCAGATGATCCGGAAATTGACGAGAGATGTCGAAGCATTGAAAGAGGAGCTCGACTTGTCACTGCAATGCCAACATCTCTTAGTCTTATCCTACAAATGCCGCGTGGAAATTTGGAGACTATTTTCCCTCGTGCGATGGTTCTTGCAGGTATTCGAAAACTTATCGAGGAAAAGAATTACAGAAAGGCTTTCACTCATTGCAGAACGCAGCGAGTGGATATGAACATTCTATATGATCATGCTCCAGAGCAGTTCTTGTCAAATGTTGCACTTTTTATCGACCAGGTCAAGAAAATCACTTACATCGATCTGTTCTTATCGTCATTGAGAGAAGAAGATGTTACCCAAACAATGTACAAAGAGACAAGAGTTGTGACTCAAAATGGCAATGTAGTACCTACCACCAATGGTGCTATCGATCCCCAAGAGCCTGTCGATATTACAGTCACCAAAACTTCAAAGGTTAACAAGATTTGCGACGCTGTTCTCGAAGTCCTCAAAACTCGCACTGCAACTAACCTACAAAACATCATCACATCTAATGTGTGCAAAAATCCACCTGCATTGGATGATGGCTTATTGGTTGTTGCACAGTTGATGAAGGAAGATGAGGCTATGGCTGATAAGGCAGTTGAGCATATCTGTTTCTTGGCGGATGTCAACCGATTATATGAGAATGCTCTTGGTCTCTATAACCTTGATCTTGCTCTTCTAGTCGCTCAACAATCGCAGAAGGACCCCAGAGAATATCTTCCCTTCATGCAAAATCTACAACAAATGACCGAGTTACGTCGTAAATATAGCATTGATGATTATTTATCTCGCCACACCAAAGCGCTCAACCACCTCCACGAACTCAACGCGTTCGAGGAACTTCAAAAGTATACTCAAAAGCATGCTCTCTACAAGGCTGCTTTAGCTATCTATCGCTACAATCCTGAACCTCTCGCTGTCATTACGGCCCTCTACGCTCAATATCTTGAATCTAAATCCTCCTACAAGGAAGCCGCACTCGCTTACGAATCCCTTCACAACTACGCAAAAGCTGCATCTTGCTATCTCGCCTCCGGACCTTCTCAATGGCGCGAAACTCTTTTCTGTGCCCTCACAGGCGGTGCAGATGGAAACCCAATGAGCGGCTCTGCACTCGCCGAGCTAGCAAGCACATTGTATGATGCCCTCATCGAAAGCAAAGATTACTATGCCGCAGCAACCATTCAACTCGATTACCTCTCCTCTCTCGAAACCGCCTGCAGAACCTTCTGCAAAGGATATTTCTTCGCCGACGCCCTTCACCTCATCGCACTCAAAGCCCGACCCGATCTCCTCGAAAGCGTAATCGACCCTGGTCTCGGCGATGCCCTCGCATCAAGCACCGAGTTACTAGCAGACTGCAAAGCACAACTCCTCGCCCAAGTCCCCCGCATCCGCGAACTGAGACAAAAAGCGCTCGCCGACCCACTCGCTTTCTACGAGGGCGAAAGAGGAGGCGATGGCGAAATCCCAGATGATATCTCCGTCGCGGCTTCTTCGCGCGTTTCGACAAATCGCTCGCTTTTTACCCGTTATACCGGTAATGGAAGTGTCGGTACTGTGGGAACGGGAGTTAGTCGTGCTACGTCTAAAAATCGACGAAGGGAAGAACGGAAAAGAGCAAGAGGTAAAAAGGGAAGTGTTTACGAAGAGGAATATCTCGTCGCTAGTGTCGGTAGATTAATGACGCGTGTGGAGGATTCGAGAGGTGAAGTCGAGAGATTGGTCGTAGGCCTCGTCAGAAGAGGAATGTGGGAGCGAGCGAGAGCGATTGAGGGGAGTATGGTAGAAGTGGTCGCTTTGTGTAAGGGGTGTGTGGGAGAAGTTTTTGGTACTGCGGATGCGGGTGCGGGTGCGAATGGAAATGCAAATGAACAAGCAGTCGCAGAAGGTCAGGAATATAGACCAGTAGGTGGTGATGCGGTGTATGCGGAGAGTTTGCAGGCGGCGGGGAGGAAGAAGGAGGCACCTCATCTTTCGGCGTTTGGAAAATTGACCTTGTTGGGTACGTAGTTTGGGTTCGCCGGGTGGGTAGTTTAGTAAGATGAAGTTGTGTTTTTGAAGGAATCTCGCTCTGAAGTGCATTCATCAGTGGGAGAAAATCAGCAGAGTGCTTCAAGTTACACAGGCAAAGCACCTACAAATCTACTTTGTGCATGTGGAATAGATTGAAAGTGATGTGCTCTAGATTTTGTTGTACACCCTACAACACCACGAATACCTGAAAGGTCCATATGCCTACGATTCATATATTTACATTTTTCTTTCATTCCAAATACATAATAATATACATGCATGATCATCAAGCAGCCACTGGGACTGGCTCTGTGGGCGTAGATGTAGGTGTAGAAGTACTCTCGACTTCTCCCGCTTCTGTGACTCCAGCCTCTCCATCAGTGCTAACACCCACCTGTCTCATGATCGTTCCTCTCCTCCTTGAGATTACCTGTCCAATCTTCAATAACATGCCTCTGGTAAGTTTACCCTTGCCCTTTGCTTTTCGTAGTTCTCTCTCTCTCTTATTAATTTCCTTCAATGGCGTCCTCATTGATACAATTGTCTTCTTCTTTGCTTCATTTTGTCTATCTTCCTCCAATTTTCTCTCTACGTATTCGGGATCGTGTCTCGTCCTGAATATAGAATATTTATTTCTCAACTCATCAATCACACTCCCGGGCATCGGCGGCGTAAGAAGCGTAGGTACAAATGTCTTTTCTTCAACTTCCATTCGCAGGGTATCGCAATCATAGTCTTTCTTTTCTCGAGGTTCGACTTTTGGCCATGGAATTATAATATTGGGACGGTCACCGGCACCGGGGATTATGCGCTGCCATTTGACGGTTTGGGCTTGTCGGTCTCGGAACATCTTGTGGTGGGCAAGCTTTTTGGCAATGACGTCGCGCGTTAGGCCGGTCACAGGGTCTGTGTATGGAAATACTAGTTTGACGTTTTTCAGGGAAATGCCTTGGGGAACGGATCGAGTGGGACGACGGTCTTGCTCGGAGTCTGATAACATCCATTTGGGTACTGCGATATCGATCTGATAATTTTGTTAGTTTGTAGCAATGAAAGATCCATGGTGGGGGGTAAATTGGAGATGGAGGCACAAAAGATCACAAATCATACCATATTCAATCCATCACAGGTAACTTCCGCCCTCTGTTTGTCAACTTTTTCTACCTTCCCAATCTTTCCCTTATCCCGCCCTGAGATCACAACCACTCTATCCCCCGCCGTAATATTCAGATGTTTCTTCCCTCCCCATAAATCCAATATCTCCAATATCTCTTTCCTCCTCGCAACTGGAACCTCAGTGAAATGAGCCGGGATGGCTCCATACGTCTCAACCTGCGAGCCAACATCTCTCTTTGGAGCCAACTCATTCAATTCCCAATCCTCCCTTCGCACCACTTTATTTTCCTTCATCCTTCTTAGATTTTCCGCACCCCATTGCTTCATCCTATCCTGCCGAAGGGCAAAAGCGTCGAGTTCATTTTTGCGCTGCCTCTTTGCAAGCCGGCGGGAGGCTTGCTTTTCGGCGAGGATTGTACGCCGAATGACTTTTTGCATGGTGGTGGGGGAGAGGAGGGGGGAATTCGTTTGGTGGTGGTGAGGGTGCTCAGTTCAACTTTTTTTGGATGGAGCTTTCGTTGATAATGGGCTAGTGATTTTTGGGTTAGTGCATAATTCTTGATCGGGGTGAGAGTCACGTGGCAAAGTCGGGGCTCGAATTGGGGTTTTATTGGTTCAGGGGCTAATGGATCATATGTTGATGTGCCAAGAGAGGCTTTCCCAATCCAAACATTGTCTATAAGTTTCAGGGACACGGCACGTGAGGCAGATTTCATTGATTAGGTATCTTATTATCTGAATGAGTTGTTGAATTGAATTCCCCAGACAATGGATTTTCAAATATGACCTCGATCGTACTCTGTATTCAAAAAACGTCGGAATGACATCAAGAGGGTGGGTGGAGAGAAGACAGATGTCATAGCAAGAAGAAGAACACATCGGAATACCCATAAATCTTGTGACTCTTGATCGCAGTCCTGTCTTTCCTGGTAGAAAAGAAACGAGGCGCGAATGAAAGAGTGAGGCGCAGATTGTCTAGGGGCTCAGCCCCATATGAAGTGCGTAAACTTGACGGATATCTCCTGAAGCTGGGGACGTGCTCATCTTCATGAAAGGAAGAGAAGTTTAGATAACTCAACCCTTGACAATTGGAAGGGCATTCATTCATGTTGTGATACAGTGTGTGAGATACTATACTATGGATGTATGCGGTGATACGATACGCCTGTAAATACGCCTGATAGAAACCCTACTCCGTAGAAGGAAGCATCCGTAATCAGAGTCATGTTTTGCAAGTGTACGAGCCAAACTATATACTAGTCATTTCATTGTCCCGTCAAGTCTAGACTAGACTTTTAAGCTTGGTGTCAGGACTCAGGAGTCAGGAGAGGAATTGAAAGAAGGAAAGAAGGAAGGAACGAAAGAAAGAAAGAACGAAGCAACGAAGCAACGAAGCAACGAAAGAAAGAAAGAAAGAAAGAAAGAAAGAAGGACTTTGCCAAGAAAGCATATCAGAACTTACCACTAACTTACCACTAACTTACCACTAACTCACCACTAACTCACCACTATCTTTACAGTTATCATTCAATAACGATACTGTATTGATTTTAAAGTTGCAGTGGAAGATTGTCGCTAGCGCCCGATTGTATATATATAATGTTTAAAGTATTCCTTTGATGTTGGACAATATTTAGTAGATGTGGTGGCTCAAATGAATAATAAGTTATCCAATATAAGGATTACGAAAAAGTCCTCTTGATATTTTACATACACCGATGCTGAGGAAGACACACAGGGCAAAAAGGAATAAGAAAAAAAATCAATAGAAGCAATTAATATATTTCGTAGGGACAGAATTGTAAACAAACCGTCGAAGGGCTTAGGTACTTCCTTGTTCATTGTCATCAATCGTTTTGTTGCCTACCCATGGTGACATGGTGTGAGGTTGGTGGAGTGAATGATAGTATGGTCTAGTAGGAGTGCATAAAATACGTGGAGAATACTCTGTACAGCATGTCACCTTCCCTAGCAGATACTAATGTATGAACCTTGGTAGCCCCTTTAGTTGATGGCTAGGGTTATGATTGAGGTGAGTTAGTGTGTTGATGTATATTTGATATTAGATGGTCCCTCGCAGACAGCAGACAGCAGACAGTACAGAGTAGACAGTAGACAATACAGTAGTAGCATGAGCACAAGAGGTATCTGAGATTTACCTGCAGTAACAATGATAAGTATTGATCTGCAGTATTCCTCATGTCCAACTGTTTGATTGGAAAATAGATAGATAATGAATTAAACAGAATCCATGGATGCTCCCTTTTCTACCCTCCAGCCACCTAGACAGCTAATTGAATACTGCCTCCTTCCTATCCATTACAATAGAGACAAACACACCCTATGTGAACTCTAGTACGGTAGAATAAGCAATAATGTATCCAATCGTTGGAATCGTAAAGCATTCAAGATTTCTTGAATGATTCCTCATGCTGTTCCCCATCCAATCCCATCCCTTCATTGACGGTTTGATTCACCGCATCAGCCCAGAATTTTTTTATTGATGCTAGATGATTCCCATAGTAACCAAGCCAAGTTGAATATTAGCGGCCTGATAATTTCAATCACAAATCATAAGGCCATAACATTGGAACCGACTAGCTATTAGGTTTCTCCAGAGGTTGCCTTCTTGAACTCATTTCCACCTTCAACAACCTTTCCAATTAACGAACTTTCATCTGCAACGACCCATACGATCAGTTTACATACACAACAATTTAATCAACAACTTCACTCAGTCGCTCTCTTTAACAAACCTTATCATACCCTTTGCCAAAATGGCGGAAATTAGAAGAAAGCTCGTTATTGTCGGAGACGGTGCTTGCGGTAAGACTTGCTTGTTGATGTAAGTACCCATCTACCTGTCAACGGTTTTCTAGTTGATCAAATCAATAAAAGTTATATCCACTAACAAATCTTCCAGTGTCTTCTCCAAGGGAACCTTCCCAGAGGTAAGCCTTACACCGACTCCTGAGAATTATATGCGAATCAAACACAACGCTGCCATCGCGTCAACTATCTGTTGATACTGGCAAGCATCGAAGCTGTTGATGAAAAATCACTATATCATCAGATCCAATAACTGATGCATCTTCTACTATAGGTCTACGTCCCAACCGTCTTTGAGAACTATGTCGCCGATGTCGAGGTCGATGGAAAGCACGTTGAGTTGGCTCTATGGGATACGGCTGGACAAGAAGATTACGATCGTCTCAGACCTCTATCATACCCCGATTCGCACGTTATCCTGATCTGTTTCGCCGTTGACTCTCCCGATTCCCTTGATAACGTTCAGGAGAAGGTACGATTCAATAGATGATTCCATCTGCTATTATCATGATGAGACGATTGCTGACACGTGCCTGAACAGTGGATCTCTGAAGTCCTCCATTTCTGCCAGGGCCTCCCAATCATCCTCGTTGGATGCAAGAAGGATTTGCGCCACGACCCAAAAACCATTGAGGAATTACACAAGACCAACCAAACCCCGGTCTCAGAAGATCAGGTAAGGATACATCAAAATTCCGCGCGGCTTGAAGACGGACCGCATGACTGAGAACAAGATTGAATAATGGAAGAATCATGCTAACAATTCTCTCAATAGGCTCAACGTGTTGCTGATAAGATTGGTGCTTACAAGTCTCTTGAGTGTTCAGCAAAGACCAATGAGGGTGTCCGTGAGGTGTTTGAACATGCCACACGTGCTGCACTCTTGACCAAGAAGGAGAAGAAGAAGAAGTGCATTGTCCTGTAAAGCTACTGTTATCGACTCTTCTCTTTCTCTAATGCGATCGGATTTTATTTTACTGCGAAAGTAGCTCGGTTGGGTGACGGGTTCATGCTAGCGAGAAGGAATTGTTACGAAGTGCATGGCTCTTCATCGACATATTAATCTATCATCCTCTTGATTGATAATACATGGACCAATATCTTCAAGTTTCTCGCACCAATACCGAACACTTCTTTCTTACTACACATCTGGGTTTCGACACATATCTCAGGGGATACGAACGGACAAATATGTCTCTTTTCTTCCGCAAATTGTGCCACGTTAGTTTCTTCTCTGTGTCTGTCTTTTTTCTCGCAAGATCTTTGTTGTTTCCTCTCATCTTCTTTTTCATGCGTGCGGTCAAGAATGGATCTGAATCATAAGGGTGCTTGCTGCGTGCGTTACGTCCGTTCGTCCTCATTATTGCTCCTTGCGTCAGAGCGGGTTGTGTGGGGCAGGGAGGGCTTGGAGAATAAGGAACGAATGGACTCTCGCATTTTTGTAAGGTGTAATAGCAATAGGCGTAGTCTATCAAGAGATATTTTCTAAGGTCTGATATTGCAATAATACACTTGAGGCGTTCATTCTTTTTTATTTTACAATGGCTGAGTATTAATGGATGGGTAAATAGGTGGCAATGATCCTTGCGTTCTTCTTATATTTGATGTTTAATGCGTGCGTGCTTTTTTTCTGTGAATTTGTGATCGATGTAAGTGATTTGATTATCTTTTTGTCTTTTTTCTGGCACTTGACATGCGTTTTCCGCCTCGTGTGACTTGATATACGCGATACACTGTTCAACGACTAGTTTCAACTGAAGAGTATTATTTTACTTGGCCTGCTAGGGAGGCCCTAATGTTCCCTCTAAGCTGTGATATAACGAAAGGCAATGGTTCCATTAAGATTTCGCACAGCAACTTGAGCTTGTGCTTGAAGTCCGCACGCATTCTCTCAAAGCATTTATTAGGCACAATGGACGTATGAACATATACTCGCCTTCAAACGTTTCTCGCCATTCCCAACCCAGATCCTGTCTTTACGCATTCATCACCATTTTTTTTTTTCAAGCCGGTAGTACCCATTGGCGACCGGAACATGCTCTTCTACAGTCTTCGATTTGCAGATGTACGTGTAAATCGGCTGTTTTACTACTAATGTACAGGAAGGTAAATTCTTTGGGACTTTGTACGGAGACCGATTGTGATGTTGGATCATGTACATAATGGTTCGGGTTTCTCCTCGGTGGGTTATCTAGATACTATTCATTATTCAACAATACATTGGATTTCAGTATTTTGTATCATTTATCACTTGATCTATTTTCATACACTCAGTGTTATAACAAGTCTTTGTTATAGTCAAGATGGAGAGAAATACCAGGACTAATTCTGGCGGTGCTCCTAACGGGAGAAAGGGAAGCGGTGGGCCCGGGAAGGACGGGAAAAGTGGGCGGCCATGTCGTGATGCCTTGGGTTATAAGCCTGATCAAGGATCTGGTAATAATGATGGTAAAAAGGATGGTGGATCCCACGGTGATGGAGGTTCTGGAAGTGGCACGAAAGGGAATAAGTAGATCACAGATGGCAACGATAGAGCCACTGCTTCCATCAAAGGAAAGAATGGCAACACTGGTCTGCATCTAAACCAAGACGCGTCAAATAATCGAAATTTAGTCTGGGTAGGAATACAATCAACATGGTGAAATATCAAATTGGATGACTTGTTTCTTGTGGGAGAAATCATCTCAAAAAAGGAAGGAAACAGCAAATGGATATTTTCGAATATGAATGGATTGTTAGAGCGGATCAAAGATTGATACTTTGAGGAGCGAAACTTGAACTTGAGGTGTTGCAATGGAAAGTGGCTATAGCTAGCGTTGAATATAATACTTTTACCCATATATGTATTGTGGTATTGATCCTCGTGCTTGCTATTGAGTGGGGAGTGAGTGGGTATTACTTGTTGGATAGAGGTAGGATAAGGGGGGGAGATACTCGGGGCACAGAGTGTTTGTGGTCAGGAGATGATGAAGATGTATGAAAGTGCTGATGAATCTTGTTGGTGAAGCTGATGTATGTTGGAGGGGACTTTATTGATGTAGTTGGAATCTGGAGTGATAGTGTCGCCCGCTTTGGAAGCTGATTGCATGAAAACATCAATGGCTTTTTAGGTGCTTTATGTATTGAATGTTACTTGGCGTTGAGAATCTAAGCATGATATACAGGAAAATATAATTGCCTTGGAAGGTGCTGCACGAGGCGAAGAAGTTGACTTCTCAAGAAGATGAGCTTATGAACCTTTGTTAAGTTGATAGAAACGTGAAAATCCAAAGATCACTCAAGAGTCTAGTTTCAAGATAGGTCACAAGGATTTGCCTTCATAGCGCTCTGGGGATGATTTGAGAAGGCTCTCGAGTAAAAATTGTTTATTTTGTGGTCGCCAAACAATCAGGTGATAACTAATAACTTCTTGACTTCACTTTTTCGAAACTTCACTCTAATCATCACTCCGCTTACAGCCAGCCATAACTGAAATTCACTTTACACCGGGTTTGATTCTTATTCTGCTTAGCGCCGTTCAGATCGCGAGGCTGAAATAAACATGAAGTAAACTTCTCGTCAAAATTTGTTTATTCCTCAACAACAAACGGAACAAACACAACAACCACGACTGGAGTACACCATCATCAAGATGTGTATATTCAGGATCACTACTTATGATGAGTGTTGGGGTCAATATACTCACTTATTAATTTGCTCCGACGAATCATCCAATAACAATGAACTTACCATTCCACAAGATCGAGTTCTTTCGGCCCTCAAATGTCCCAACTTGAAATCCGAGCATATCAACGTCGGCGGTTCGAGATGTAATTGCAAAATCAATCCGCAAGCTTTCAACACTATTTGTAAGAGGATGTGGGGAGGTGATTTTGTCGGAAGTGTTAACTGTAGCATGAATCCCGGATCTGCAGTAAAATTTCAATTTCGCGGCAGAGAATGGGACAACTGCACCAATGTGGATATGTTACTGAGAGGAGGAGATCGCAATGTTCCAGATGAATATGATCCTAGTGCGCAAGCATGGAGTGATCGTGAGTGGGATGGAGACAATAAACAGGTAGATTGGAGAGACAAGGATTGGGTCACGTTGGCAGAGAAGGGAATGGTTACGTGGCAGAGTCGCAAGATTCGAAAGCCCACTAACGTTCAAGATCCGATGATTTCAGGAGAAATCCAGTCTTCTGAGATGAGTCAAACTTACGAAGAGGTCCAACTGGACAAAAGCGAAATGTTTTCGACCGAGCACAATTTAACGAGACCAAAAGGTCAGAAGCTCCGTCCACGACATACCTCGACAAACCGTCATGTTGGAACTATTGGTGATGCTGTAGTCGAGTGGAGACGATTGAAAGACCAGAAAGAAGCCGCTGTGGATGGTCATCAGAATTCGAGCGTTAGTCAGCCACAATACCAGAGGAAAGCTTCAGTTCCACAAATCAACCAGGCTGAACATGGAAGACAGCTGACGATTGATACCAACCTTAAGAGTCAACAAAATGCGCTGTCATCATCGGCTGCCACTATTCAAACCCCATCAATATTTCCAACCGGTCCAAAGGCTATGCCAGTTCGGAAGGCAGAGCGACTGCGTAGAGGGAGAAAGAATAGGCAGGAAATTCAATCAGGAGAACAATCAGCTGCATCTACGGGGATGCGTTCAACTATTCCACTTGGGCCGAAGTTAATGCCTGTCTGGCAAAAAGCACAGATTCTAAAGGAGAAACAGGAACTGGAGAAGAAGAATATCGGAATCCCGCCGGGAAATTATCAACAAAATTCGATGGGTCCGGCTGCCGCTACTGCCACCCATGATAAGAATATCCACGACCAGGACGCAAGCCAAGTAACTTTACAAATTCCTGCTTCGTTGGAAACTTCTTCAGCTCTTGTTGCTGCAAGTGAAAGCTCGCAAGACCAGTGCGAGAGGGTAAATGATCAGAAGAGAAACAAATTCTCGCACAATGCCTACGAACAAGGAGTTGTCCTGCGGGAAAAGAAATCGAAGGATCAAGTACATGAATCTCGTCTGTCTGTTCAGGATGGCTTCCAACATGTCAGTGTACAAACTCCTAGCCGAGAGGATAATAACTCGTCTACCAACACTTTAAGTAAACCATGGAATGGTGTACCGGAATATGTCGTTTCTCAAGAGTACAACAATACTTTACCGGAGTCTGATGATAGGAACTTCAGATTTAACAACTACACTCCTTCTAAACGCCCTCTAGAAAAGGTCCAAATGACAGATCATAATGAGGCATCGAACTCTACACCTAAAGATTCCTATGAAACTTTGCACCAAGCTTTAAGACCGCAAGCAGCTCCACATGTCGTTTTAGATCCTGCATGCAGAGGAGATCTGACACCTCTTGAGCTACGCCAAGTGGAAAGATCTCAAGCGAAATCTGCAAACCCTGAATTTCATCCATGTTCGAGTCTTAGTAAAATCGAACAAGATGAACCCCAAGCTCTTGAGCGGGAACAGAAAACTCAGGATAATGTACAGACTCAGAGACAATTCAGTGTTTTTACACAGGAACCAGATCATTCACAGCAAAATTTCCAAAGAAAGGCAATCAGAAAGCTCCAAGAAATTGAAGAGCAGTCAAAGATACCAGGCAACAGAAACGAGCGAGATTTTCTCCATGATTTCAGTCAGCTTGATGCTTTCTTACAGGACTTCACGATTTCTCAGCAGGATACCGCTCGGGAGATGTGGATGGCGGAAAAAGCCAAGGTTGATAGGAAGTATAGTAAGTTCTATGAAACCATTGCTGCTCCTGGCAAAGCGGTCACAAATAGCCCACAAGGAAGTGATAAAGTAGTCAAGCAGCTACGTCAAAAGAAAGTCGACGAGGACAATGATTTTGAGGAGAAATCTGTTGAACACGGGTCTCTTCCTCGAAACGAAATTTCACCTGCGAATACCTCTCGCCTCTCGCTGAAATCAGAATTACCCCATCTACTCACGAGGAAGCGTAAGACCATACTGTTGGCAAACATGCTACATGATCAAGACATGAAGGAGAGGTTTGTGCAGGATGTCCCGTTTCAGCAACAAAATGTGGCCCGTGATAGTTGGATTATTGTAGCAAAATTGGTAGATCGCCGCTTACAGAAACTCCTCGATCAAATCAGGACATGCGTTGTCGCTGAAGGCGTAGAAAATTATTCTGAGGACGTTGAATATAATGGAGAGGAGCACCGGTACAAATGACCTCTTAATTCAGAAAACTTCAAATACTGATATATTCTATTAGACAAGCTCAAGAAAAGATACTAAAAAGTGTTAATCGAAAGTAGGAACAAAAATACCCCTCCTTGTACCATTCTTGCTTTAACTAACGATTTAAAGATTTGGCGAGCAGCTCAGGAAACTTGAACGTTCAGCGAAAACTCTAGAAGAGAAACGAGTTCGTGAAGCCGAGAAGCAGAAGAAGCTCAATCATCGCAAATCATTCAAAGAGCAAAACCGGGATGATGACGTTTCCGATCTTTTGAATCACAATGGTCGTGCAGAAGCTACAAGTAACCAACAGGAACTGATCAGCACTTCTCTTGGAGATCAGACAATGGGAGATATTTTGGATGTAGATGAAGATGCCGATATTAAAGTACAACAAAAGCGAAAGAGAGACGTTCAATATCTTGATCATTCTCCACGCATGTCTGCCAAGAAGAGAAAGTCTGGCGAAAATAAGATGGCTGTTGAGAGCGAACGGGCACGTAACCAGAGATTGAGGACCCTATATTATTCAGGACTCATTCCGAGTATGGAATATGCCACGGGTCTTGAGAAGGCTGACGCTGCCAAACTACAAGTCGAAAACAAACAGGACCAAGACAAGCGAAAGGATAATTCCCAGTATTCTGAACCAATAACTTCGAAAGATGAGATGTCTAGCAATAATAAACCCCAGGCCCAAAGCTCTGTACGCAAATCATGGATCGACATTGACTTCGAAGCTCAGGACATACTTACTAAGACTAATCGACGAGAACATAGACAGATATTGTAACGTTTTCGCCAAACTTGATTGAAACACAAGCTGACATTAGAATAGAATCCCCGAGACTTTCCACCTCTCGTTTCAGGCACAATTCCCGAAACTACCAAATGAATCGGAATTCGAGTTTCGCGAAAGAAAGCTTGCTGCATTCGTCGTCAGCGATGAATACAAACAACCTCGATCAGCTGGCTCGGGTACCAGGAATAGCACATTGACTAATGGTCAAGAACAAGCTGACAGTGATGAAGATCTGTCGGAGTATCTACCATCAGGTGCGTATCTTTTATTTAAGTCTGACTAAAGGAGAATAATGCAGAGCTTACTAGATACACGTTAGGTATGACTCAGTCAAATTTGAGCAACGAAGCTGGTACGCATGCCGAGAAGGAGCAAACTAGAAAGCCGAGACTCACGCGTCAAGCGAAGACTATGTAAGATACTAGTCATTTATCGAATAGATGCTTTGGATGTTCGCTAATAAATCGTGAAGTTCTGCTCGAGAAGAATGGCTTCGAAAGCAAGATGCTAGAAACTTTGAGGGACAGAGACAACAAGTCGGTAACACCGGCAATGCCAGAGTCGAAGGGATGGTAGGCATGCTTGTTGGTGGAAGAATTGATGTTGACGACCAGATTTCGAGCAATATGAGCGACAATCAAGGACTTGCGGGATATAGATCAGAGAAAAATGCTTATAGGAAGATGGAAGGTGGTAGCCGATCGCAAAGCAGAGGTAAGTCCTTTTCCGGCCTATCTTAATTTCTCTCGTCTACAATTACGTGGCGGAGCAGAACATCACTGCATCACTGGAACCTTGAATTTAATAACATAGCTGTAGGGGTTTTCGGAACTGAACAACAATTCCAGTCGTTCAATAAAAATTTGTCAGCGGTAGTCCAGCACAATGATGCAGTTATGGCAGGGAGCAATATCGAGACAGCTATTGATTTGACGTCTGATTGAGAAAGGGAGTGAGCATTGGCTAGTGATTTGGGAACAGGAATTTGTTGGAGTATCTAGGTATTTTATTTGCGTGGATTTCGCCTCTAAGGAAGTTATTTGGTGGTTTTAGTGGTTAGCAGGATCTTAGGACAAATACTTCTTGTCATTCTAGAATCAAAGAGCGAGGCATATTCTTGATCTGTGGACTTAGCAATAGCAATATTTCATTTTGATTGATGTCAATGTACTTGCTGTGGATCGAATCATTGTGACTATATTCGCTCTAAACTATAAGGTTGTAAGCTATAATGGGAAGCTGTGAAGTGGCTAGATTTTTTCAATTGCATTATTCGCAGCCCGTGAATTGTACCATGCTATAGCCCTCTGGAAGAAACTGGTGCTCTAAGACTTCTACTATGCTTGTCCAAAACATGAATGACATTGCTAAATAACATAAAGATCAGCATAATGCTCTAATCCTTTGAAGTCAATATTCACCATCATGAAGCTCTGATCCAAAATTCGACAACCTCATTCACCAATTCCAGCATACACACTTCTCTGCTATCATCTGATAAGATAGAATAGACAAAAAGTCTTTATTTTAGCCCAGTGAATAAACAATCATGCCGCTATAGATGTTCATAGTTCCAGAAAGTTCCCTCGTAATCTCTTCTGCCACAAAAAGGTAATCCTATTTTCAATTTCCAATTCTCGCACAACAAAGAAAAAAGTAAGCTTCTTTCGAATTTCTCTGAAGAAATTCTCAACCTTTTCCATCCTAGATATAAACAACATCTATACTTAAGAAAAGTTGTTTTTATCTATTTCTGAAATCAAACTGAATCTTTCAATACAGAAAGAAGTCTTTAAACAACTTTTATTTTCACTTTTGGTTCTTCTCAGCTTAAAACCCGACTTTCCAAAATCTACCTCTTCACCCCTTATTTATTCTGACTCGACCTTCAAGACTCAATTTTATCCTACTACTTGAAGATAAAGCTCATAACATTAACAATCTACAATTCGACCAAGATGTGTGTAGATACTCTCATCACCTACACTGCTTGCAATTGCAAGATCATGATCAAAAGTATTTGTTTTGATCATATTCAACATACTCTCAAGCAGGAAGATAGGAATCTATGCCCTAAGAAGATTCCTGGTCTTTATACAATCAGGTAAGTAGAGTTTGCAGGTTTACTTTTCTTGATATTTTGATCGGTTTGGATGTGCAGATCTCTTGAATTTGCTTTCTTGTCTTGGTCTTGGCAAATTCTTCGGAGTATACAGCATGCATGCACTTCCATCTCAGAGATGACTTCAGATCTCCCATTTATCTCTTGTTCATGAGTCTCTCATCCGACTCTCCTAACCTTCTCACAAACACAAAAACTAACAAATGTTTCTCCCACAGAACAAGCCCTAACCTCTGCTTCCTCAAATCCGGCAGTAAACTCGAAGACGGCCGCATCTTCCGCCATGGCTCCCATCGCACACGTCACTACTACGAGTTCGAACGCGATCCCGATGATCCCAAGAAGCGTTGGGAGAGCTGGGAACTTAAGAATCGCGGTAAATCTCGTCAGAGAACTGATAGTATGGAGGCCAATATCAGTGCTGGTGAAGATAGGTATGTTTTCTATTTGCTCTTGTGAATTCCAAACTTACCAGCAAAACTTTAACTGTAAAGTTTTGACTGTGACTAACTAGGTATGTGATAGGAGACACTTGAATCTTGAGGCTGATAATCATGATGATGATAGTCACAAGGAGAGAGAATCTCAGATCAGAGAGTGGCAAGAAGAGACGAAGAATAATAGACCACCTAGAGTAAAGATTGAGGATGAGGAGAAGATGGTTGAGAAGGAACAACCGGCTCCAGGTCGAAAGACGGTCAATCATGTTCTTTATGATATGTTTGATTCGCGCAGCGATGATGAATTCTCTGATGATGATGATTGGAAGCCTGAGGCTAAGTATATCTCCCATCCCCTTATACACATCACGAGCACGAACTAACACAACTCATAGGATTGAAGTCGACCCCGGACATACAGTCCCCTGGTCCTCCAACAACTCTCGCTCTTTCTCAGACTCTACACGTGCAAGTGGCACCAACACCAACACCAACACCACCCAAGAAGCATATACCTCACCCACATCCCGCGACGATGGAGGTCTCTTCAGCAATCACAGCCCCAACGCTATCCACGACGCCGAGACCCATCGTCCCGCGACCCCTCACTCCCAATTCAACTTCAATCCTCCCTTCAGCGGCACGCACACCAAGTACACTCACAGCTCCGACAAATCGCACTCGAGTCACGGATCCAGATCTAGCTCTACCCGTACCAACAACAACAACACCAACACCAACACCAACACCATGGATTTCGGATCTCCCAAACACCGAGCTCAGATTCCAGCAGAGGGACCACCTAGAAGACATGATGTGTATCGTCCGCATTATCCTTCTATGTCCGTTGATGCACATTCTAGCTTTTGGGCTGGTCATCTTAATCAAGCATCGCATAATACAGGTACCAATCGTCCGCCGCCGTACTTTCCGAGTCCTTCGACTCTTGCGCCGCATAATGATGTAGCTGGTGGTGCATCTGGCCCCATGGGAGTAGATGGTGGAAATACCGCCAGCGGAGATGGAGAAATCCGGGGTGTATATGGTAATTACACAAGTGGAGAAAATCACGAGAGAGAGAACAAAAAAGCTCGAGTCGACAGACCTGGTCCTAGCAATCTCGATTTCGATTTCGATAATACCTCCAGCCTTTTCGCAAACAATGAACGTGGAGAAATGTCAAGAGACGAGAGCGAAAAACAGAGGGTTAATGGTATTAAAGATGCCGGAGATGATGTTGAGATGGTTGAATAAATTAGCGGTCTGTTTGTGGGGGGATTTGTTCTGGCTTAAGGTACTTGAGTAGACTGCATTGCGGAGTCTTCTGCGGTTTTGACTTGACTCTCCGAGTTCTAATTCATGAGGTTGATGGATGTCCCCATTCAAAGCCACGATTCCACGCAGGTATTAAGATGATCCAGAAGTTTCGAAACCGGACGAAGTGTTTATACAGATCTCGAAAAGTTAACACAGGAGAAGCAATACTTTGTCAGATACCTAGGCAAAGTGAATAGGAAAGATCTCGATACTGGGTAATGAAAGATACTGTTTATTGCATTAGGATTTCAATAGCATACTGTGCTGATAGCAATGGGGTGGATTAGTGGTATTGGTGATAGCAATAGCATATGATTCTACAACAGAAGCAGACTAGGTCATCGACGATCATTCCATATTCTCTTTTTTCGAGAAAAGCTTATCTACTATTAGCTTCTAGCGAAAATGTGAAGACTTCTTCACATACCCCCAGTGGGGCCTTAGCGTCCGGAAACCGGACTGCTGTCAGACAGCTGTGTTATGCTCTCATAGTTGAAAGCAAGCCAGCATCAATATATGTTCAGGATCGTAAATTATTGGTCCGCAGTCTATCCTTTCGAACACCCCAAGCGGGAAATTTTAAAACATGATGAGTATTCCTCTCAAGAAACATAATGATTACACCTTTCACAACATCTCGTTGCACCCAACGCAAGTGCACTTGCCTATTGACCAGCAGTAGCTGTCCAAATTGTGATCACCATCTCGTTCGCACTGTTAGTACTCTGCTGTTTTGATATTTTATTGAATTCTTATAATTTACATTCTTTCTATTCATATTGGTTGGTTTTGCACAACCATCTAACTAATGCTCGAGTCAATGTGCTCCTTTCCTCCTCTCAAATCATCTCCTCTTTATCCAGGCCGCACAAAAATTCCTGAAGGAAAATGCTTTGCGCGAGATCTAGATAAATCATGTATGAATCCGCTACCATTATCTCAATATCTCTAAACACCATCTGATCGCTCAGTCTATCTGTCTCTAGAATCCTATAGAACATCCAATGAAAGTTCAAAGAAATTAAGATGTTCCATTCCTCTAGACCGTTATCGTATCCTCCTCTAATGCAGAAAGTAGGCAATTTCGTCGAATAGCGCATTATTGACAAGCGTTGTGTTCGATTGTGGTATGTGATGAAGAAGGGCGTTGTCAACCCAAACAGTCGTATGTAACCGAGTGGAAATAAAGACCATCTGGTTTTAACGACCGATAGAGGGAGCGGGAGCAATACCCAAGATCTTTTTACTTTCGAAGGGATGCTTGAGAAGCAGCTTTTGATGCCAATGCTTCTTTTAACAATTTATTTGCAGCTGCTACTTGCTGAGAATCATCTTTGATACCTTTCAAATTGTCGAGCATTAGACGAATCTTTGCAGTAGGAGCATGGTGGGGACATGCAGGTATCAACTTCGAGTAGACAAAATGACAGTCTGGACAAGACTGTACCTGAGGTCGAGATGGACTTGGAAGGATTGGTGGCATTGATGACAAGGAAGTCCGCTGATATGACGTAGATCCAGGAGGGCGACCTCGTTTACGTTTCACGGGGATCTCAATGGCTGGAACCAATCGACTAGTTGGACTTGATCTGTTTGATACACTGAGCTCTGAACCAAGCTGGATAGGATCTCTTGCATGTTGACCAGATGGCGAGGCAAGTGGTGTAGGCATTCTAGACAACTCTTTGCCATGTGATGGCGGAGTTTGTAGATCGCTAAGTGGCATATGCATTCTATGAATACCCTCTACTGGCAAAGGCATTCTATGAATACCCTCTGCTGGTATTCTAGAAGGCGTTTCTTGATAGAAAGGTCCCGCGACTCCTCGTGCACTTCCTGGATATGGGGCTTTGTGGAAGCTTTGCTCCGATCGATTAAGTTCCTCTGCTTTCAACAGTCCGACGGCGTGGTTCATGGCCTGTAGCTGGCTTTCTGTGTTTTCTCGTAGCTGTTGATCAAGTTGTTGTATGTGTGCTGGGTAGTCCTCAGTAGGAAAATACTTGACACCCGACTTTTTCTCTGCTATTTTCCGCTTCTTGTAAGCCAAATCACGTCTGGCTCGTTCTGCGTCACGCGGTCTATAAATTCGAAATTGTTGGTCGAAAGCTTCTTGACAGTACTGTAATCTCTGTACCCGCTTTTCAATTTGTTGCACGTAGTCTTTGAGTTCCTCGTAGTACCTTTGATTGCTGTCATGAATCGGCAGACTAAGTGGATTGTTGACCAGATATGCAAAATCATTTTCGAGCTCTTTCACAAGAGGGGTTCCGGCTTCTACGAGTTGGTCTCTGATAGAGGTGTCGGCTGCTTCGCTTTCGGCCGTTTTGCGTTTCTTGTAGGGTGCTCGCTTCCTCGTCTCGCTGTTGGGAGGTTCTTGTTGTTCATAACGTTGGATTGTTGATTTTTGAGGATCTGGAGCCGTAGACGTTCCTTCCACTTGACGATTTTCTTCGATGTACTTCCCTGAATTGTTCTCGGATGGCCGCACCAGCTCCTCAAGTCTTTTTCTTTCACTGTCACAGAACACTCTTAACTTTCGTATTTCGCTACAAAGTATACCATATCGCGATGTTGGATCTTCTCGCTTCTGTGACTCTGGTTCGCAGTATTGTTTGAGATCATTGTGACGTTCGATGAGAGTGCTACCCTGATGAAGCCATTCTTCTGATCGTCGTTGATATTCCTGTAGCTGTCGTGAGTAGTTTAAAGCACGATTATCCTGTGGTGGTACTAATTGATTTCTCGCTTGTGCCCATTGTGCGGCGTCTTGGTGCAATTGGTGTTCTCCTTCCATCAATTGTGGAGAGAGTTCTTGCCAAAATTGTCGAGCCTTTGGTTCTTCTTGACTGTACCACCATAGTGGTTGATCGAGGTCTTCTCGAATAGCCTCTAGCAGATACTCAAATTCTTGCTCGAGATCGAGCCTAGCTTTATCCTCGAGACTGAGCTTATTTGGATTCAACGGTACATATCCTTTCATATTGATCTTACAAATTTCGAGGAAATTGTGGCCGGTATCAACCCAGTCTTGTATCTGTCGAGTGTTGACAAAGACACGCTGGTTGTCATTGATCACTTTTATCCAACTTCCATAGTCTGCGTACATATCATTAAGTGAGATCGTTGGTTTTGGGTCTCTAATACGGTTGTCATCTGCTTATAGTTAGCGGGATTGGTAACCCAAATTATCGATCACTGCAAAGAAACCACGAGAAGAAGGGGAAAATTATAAATAGTGTCTTGGAGAATTCTGTTCCTTGACAGAATCCGGAGATAGCATTGCAGAATTAAGCAATTCATTCGATGTGGTATTTTGCCTTCATCTAGAACGCATGAACACTTAATAAGTGGTTCTATCTGAAACATTGGCTTGACCGGCAGGATTGCCTCGATACTCTTTCACAGAAGCGCTCGCTTCTTAATGACGCCTGAAATGCGCGAATGCACCATTTATTGACGACCATCCATAGTGAATGATCACAATGACGATCAGATATCCCTGTTATGCTTCCTATCTTTACTGCGAATTGATTTCACGGAAAGATTCTTGTTGCTAACTGTTGTTGTTGTTTCAAATGCAGAGCTGTCTGGCCTTTTCATCACAGAGCTATCTGGCTGAATCTTAGAGCTACGTTCCTGCTTACCAATTTTTTGGGGAGATGGCAACATGAGAGTGAGTGATCTGAGACCTGATTGAGCACCTCCTTGAGTGTTCATTTTGCGTTTTGATTCATTGGAAAGTGGACGTGCGTTTATACGCTTTTTAGATTTCGTACCTTTGAAGCTTGAGTGTTCTGCTTCCAGTTCTTGGGCGTTGGTGACTTCATCGGCGTCGGACTCAGCATCGGACTCCTTGGCAGCATTTCCGCCAAACTCGTCATCGCTGTCAGATTTTCGAGTACGGCGACCATCTCTCCGTGGCGAGCCTTCGGGGTCGTCCAGATCCATTAGCTCAGGATGTGACTTTTCGTATTCAACGGTCTAACTAGTTAGTAAAATACTTGTTGACTATTTTAAGATGACTGGCATGTGACTTACCTGTCGGGCGCGCTTTCCACGGCCAAATGCTTGCATGTTCTTAGCAGCTTCAAGGGCTGCATCTGCCGCACGCTGTTTTAATATAGCATCCCATAATAGCGCCTTTGGAGCAGCCGGTTCGTCTTCTGTGTCTCCGAAATCATCTACCATATCTCCCTTGTCTTTGATCCACACACGAGCATGTGAGAATTGAGATTCTGCGGTGCCATCATCATTAGTAGTATTCTCGACCTGAGATCGATCGAGAAGTTCGTCCACTGATGCTGGATCGTAGTAAATATCTTTGCTATTGTCGTCAAGAAGAACCGCTTCAGCGCCGTGTCTAAGAATCGCCTCAAGATTGTCCCCTGCTTCATCCTTCACATCTATACTTTCGATAAGAGCTTGATCGAGAGCCATCTTTTTACGACCAACTTGTACGATTTGCTCTTCCGCACTATCTTTAGTCACTAGTTGGAAGACAAGTACCTTTTTCTTTTGACCGATACGATGAGCTCGAGAGAGAGCTTGAATATCCTGGTGAGGATTGAAGTCAGGATCCATGATTATAACGGTATCTGCAGTCGCCAGATTAATTCCGACACCACCAGCTTTGGTCGAAAGTAGAAACGCAAAAAGTTCCGAGTTGGGTGCATTGAATGCATCGATGCGCTTTTGCTTCTCAAGCGTACTAACGGTACCGTCTAAACGCTTGAAAGGAAGTTGAAGACCATTCAAAAAGTCTTCGACGAGATTAAGTTGCTCTAGAAATTGACTGAAGATTAGAACTCTGTGTCCTCGAGCTTGCAGCTTCGGAAGCATGATTTCCAATAATTGAAATTTAGAGGAGGCATCGATTAGATTTCGATGAAGGGCTTCAGGACTCAATGAAGTCTCCTCGATAGCAGAACTGTACAAGA